GTTTTAAAAAATACAGTTCACTCTTCAGTCCATACAGTCCATATATGGAAACTAAAAGCAGCCTGTTTTAAATTCACTGTTTTTGTGGTGTCCCCAAAACCAATGCATTCACACATATTGCCTATTCAGCTTATAGCAATTCAGCCCCCATTTATTCATACTGAACTTTTAAGCAGTGTTTCAGCACAAACTGCTTTTTGAATGAGACATGATCTGTCTACAGACAATTATCAATAAAGATGTTTCATTTAAAACAACACGTTGCGCAGCCAAGTACTGAAAGTAAAAGCAGGCGGAGATGTACGCGGGTAGGACAGTGTTTAATGTTTATACCTCACAATTCTATTTGGTCAAACATAATCAAGTCAGCATATACAGACTTTGGTAGCAAATTTTGACTTTTTTGCCTCTGTTGTGCTAGCCTGTGTCTCCATCTACACTGGGGAAGTGGTTGTAATTGCGTATGTTTAAAACGTGCAAAAATCGCACAGTGTAGACCTGCAGGAATATGCCAAGGCAGAATGTTTAAAGCAGGGGTCCTGGAGGGCTGGTGTCCCGCACAGACTGGTGATCTACTTGCTCGCACACACCGATTATACTCATCTTAATTGGTTTAACTGATTTAGTGGGTGTGTTTGAGCAGGGTACACCTCCAAGCTATGCTGGACACCGGCCCTCTAGGACCGGAGTTGTGCACCCCTGGTTTACCATGACCTTTGTATCTGACTGCTATGGCGTCAACAACACTCCTCCATGTGAGTGGACTCTTGTTCACTGCCAGCTTGAGGCGTCTGTTCATTAGTGCAGCAGCGTACATTAAGCTTGTGTTACATGGTATCAGGTGGTATCGCATGTTGGTAGTGGTATCAAAATATGATACTTATTGTGTTTTGTGAAAATATCTTTAAGTACCATGATACGAGATTTTTGCTATGTCGCCATCCCTGACATGTATCAGAGTGGCAGCAAAGACGAGCAAAACATAATTGGAAAAAAAAAAAAGACATAAACCAGCCCAACCTGCACCATTGTCCCGGTAACCACTACAGCAGCGGGTAGAGGCTGGGGCACGGTCATGGCAACGGTTGCTGGAGTGATAGACACGGCAACCGTCTCCACTTGTTGGTTGGTGATTGCTGACTGGGGATGAGTCATGGGGTCTGTAGCCGTGGGGATTGTGGCAGGAATAGAGAGATGAAGAAGAGAGAGAGGGATGGTCTGCCTTTCCACCCGTGCGCCTGCCTTGGCCCCGTCCTTCTCTCTGGCCGCTCTGTCTTTCATTTTAACGCCCGTATGCACGGACTGATGACGCCGCAGGTTATAATTGTTCTTAAACTGCTTATTACATATGGAGCAAATATGAGCGGGCCGAGCAGGCCTAGTGACAGGTTTAACTGAAAAAGAGAGCGGAGAGAAGGGGAGAGAGAGAAAGAATAATGTGAATTAGAGCAGAAATAACAATAATTAACAGCAATTAAAAAATCAGAGCAGACAAACATGGTTATTTGAATTAGTAGTGGGTGATATGGCAAAAATAGGACATCATGATACCTGAAGACATTTCCATGATACATGATGTGTATCACAATATTTGGGTGTCCGGGTTTCCTCCCACAGTCCAAAGACATGCAGCCAGGAGAACTGGAGATGTTAAATTGGCCCTAGGTGTGGGTGGGTGGGTGAATGTGTATATCTGTGTGTCTGTCATGTGATAGATTGGCTGGCCAAGGTGTTGCCTGCCTTCCACCCAGTGAGCGCTGGGATAGGCTCCAGAACCCCCCGTGAGGATACCCAGGAGGATAAGTGGCTTAGAAAACGTGTGTATGTGTGTAGTGCCACATTTAAAAATACCATGAAAAACTATGAACACATTGATTTTGGTTCAGTGTTTAACATACTCTACTGCACTAAATACAACTGAACAAGACTAATTATGCTGTCCTTGTGACGAAACAGTCGGTCAGTGTTCTATAAGTACACTTTAAGACCATATGCACAATATCCATGAAAAGCATACAGTGGAGTAATGTATCACTATAATGGTAAAATGTTGTCATATTGCTCACCCCTAATTGAAATACAACACTAAAATACTTGCATGTCCAGTCTCTCTGCCCTTAAACACTCCTCATTAAAAAATGCTAGCAGACTGACCGGAGGCATAGTCAGAATATATCATGTATATTATGTGTTACTAATGCATGTCCCAAAAGCATTACCTACCTATCTCTGCCCAACAACCTCAGACAAGATAGCACAACTAGAGGGCAGAGCAGGGAAGAGGATGGTGACCTCCACTGCCCCCCCTCTTTCTGCCCGCTCCTCCCAGCCCGTTTCCCTGCCCCTCCCTCACCTGGCTCCGGCTCCTCGCTCAGCGCCGCTGTGTCCACTGTGGACGGGGGCGGGGCTATGTGCTCAGTGGGTGGCTCCTGGGGCGGATCCGTGAGTTCCGGAAGAAGATCCGATTGGAGGGTCGTCTCAGTTTGGGATTGCGAAGGCGGAGTCTGTAGAAGGAAGGTGCAAAAAAAAAAAACAAATTTTTTATCGGGTTTTCCCTCTTTTGGTGGGGAAAACTCAGGAGAGAAGGGCATTCCAGTGCTCAACACGCTCACAAGAACAATTCTCCGTTTCACTTACCTGAAAGAGAAAATTGCTCCAAGCTGCATCCATCTTGAGGGCCGATGACGTTTTGATGGTAATTAAAAATAATAAACTGAGGTACAGTACGACCAGAAAGACCTCCCTTTAGACCCCTAATTACAGTCAGTGATCTAACAGTTCACCTGATTTGTGCTTTTACAATGCAGACTTTACAAAGACTAATGACACAAACAGCGACGGAGTATCAAAAATGCTTTGATAAGAAAAAAGAAATTGCACGTTCCAGTGACGTCAATTAAGTCATTTACTACACGTAACTGCCATAAAAAACCACGATATTGAAAAATATCTGCTGAAAAAAAGTATATTCATAATATTAAACAGCTGTCAAAGTCTTCATTTTCGATATCGCAGGTTAAAAAGAACAGTCATATTTTTCATGCTTTCAGACATTACATGTAAGTTATATAAATATATTTTTACTGGAATGGTGTTTTTTATAAATTAGACAGCTGTGTGCACCAGTTCATGCAAAAGAAAAAAAAAATAACACAGCGTTGAAAACTGAGAGTTGGATGTTGTTTTTTGTAGTCAGCGGTGGCTCGGCCCGTTTGCTGAGGGAGAAACAGCCCGTGTTACTGAGAGCTTCTCCATGCGGGCCTGAGCGCGGCAGAAAGCCTCGGTGTCGCGTTAAATCTCATCCCGGCGTGGCGAGCGCTTCACCGGCCGCAGTCCATGGCTCCGCCTCGGCGTTTCAATCGAGAGGATGACATCTTTTCTTTTTTTTCCCTCTCTCTCTTCCTTCCTGTATCGCTCTCCCTCCCACCCTCGCTCTTTCTTCCTTTTCTTTTTTTACGCCGTCTTCTCTGCCCCGCTGTCTCTCTCTCCCCCACCGCCGTGTCCCCCTTGTTTTAAAGGGATAGTATTTGGAGTGAACTCCCCCCTCTCCGTCCTCGTCCCCTCCTCCATCCGACGAGCTTTTTTCCCGAGCGGTGTCGTCCTCCTCTCTCCCCCCTCCCTCCAACGAGCTTTGGCCGACGCAAAATGTCGAACAGAATCACGACGGATAAATATAAAACACAATCTACCCTTTTCAGATATTAAAAACAGACCTGCTCGCCCAGCGCACGACAGCTGGACGCTCGGGCTGAAGAAAAAAATCCGGCTGTGAAAAAATGTCGCAGGTCCTTAAAGGTAACGACTCACTCAGACGGCCCAGACACAAACGCTGCTAATACGTTAGATGTCCAAAAGTTTGTAGACACCCAGCATTTCTACTGAAATCAACGAGTTTTAAAAGATCGTTTCCCTCTTTGCTGCAGTAACAGGCTCTACTCTTCTGGGAGGGCTTTACACTCCAGCTACACTGCTGTGAGAAATTGGTTACGTTCAACCACAAGAGCATTAGTGAGGTCAGGTGCTGATGTTGGATGATTAGTTCTAGATCGCAAAAGCCACTTTAACTCGTCCCAAAGGTATTGGATGGAACTCAATCACTCCACAAAACGCAGCTTCCTTTGCAGGAGTGGGGGGTGGCTTTATACTCCTCTAGCTCACAGCTGGAATTGGGCATGGTGACCTTAGGGTCATGTGTGGCTGCTCCAGAGGTTCCTCATCTATTGCTATACTTTGCTATACAGGTCATATGTGTGTGTAAACGGACACTTGGGTCACTTTTTAAGAGTCCATATTCTGCATTTTTCACTCATGTTGTATTTTCACCATAAAGTTTTCATGGTTTTGTGTACCAAAAAGTCATAATCAATTTTTTTTACATAATCATTTTACAACCTCTCTTAATCACTTAGAATTAAATGTTATTTTCCCTTTAAAACTTATATATGTAAATAACCCCTGTTCTCATTGGCTGCCCTGTATTGTGCAACATTTAAAAAGCGGTCTAAGCTGAAAAAAACAGGTTAGGAAGTTTGCATAAATGGACCAAGTTAAACTGCTGTAGATATATGTAAATTGGTTGGTTTTCATGACATAGCAAAAAAAGAATGAATTAAAAATGGGTTGCAACTTTGTACAAATGGAATACACTGACTGGGAAGCAAGTGATATGTTTTGAAACTTTAACATGTTTCTCAACTGCATCAAACTTTCATTCCAAATTGAAGAAAAAATGTTTTCCAACAATTCATGATATGGGCCATTTAAAGTAGCTGAATTTACTAATTAAAAGGGGTGTCTGGACTTTAACAATTTTGGGTCAGTTTCCTAGACAAGGATTAGGCCTAGTCCTGGACTACATTTTCCTTTCAATGGAGCCTCTCCATTCAAAATGTTGTGTAGTCCAGGAAACCAACCCATAGCGTGTGACTGAGCCCGGAGGCTTTTAAGGGAGCAAATGTAATGTGCCAGCACAGATGTTGCACAAACTATTCGACAGGCTATTCATTTTATGAGGATTTCTTTATTTCTGTGAATATGTCTACAGAAAGCAATAGTATGTCTACAGTGTTCCTCTAGCACTAATACATTCATAAGGTTCGGATGACACAGTGGGATTACCAGAGGTGACATTTCCACTCAAACAATTTATTTTCCCAATTAATACCAGGGGTGGAAAATACTGGAGTAATTGTACTTATGCGAGGTTTGTAGTCGAGTACAAGTGAAATTCAATAGTTGTATTTCTAATCAATGACATTTCAAAAGAAAAAAACATAACTTTTCTAGCTTCAAAGTACTCACTGCAAATCTCAAAGGCCACGTGATTTTTCTCTTTTTCTGTTGCCAGTCTACCAAATTCCTGTTATTGCAAAAATTATATATATATGTAAGTACAATTTCTATGTGCTTTTTCCACCCCAATAAACACACAATATGGCACTTTCATATGCACACCGGCACGCATATGTGTGTGTGTGTGTGCGTGTGTGTGTATATATATATATATATATATATATATATATATATATATATATATATATATATATATAAAAAAAGATAGCAACAATAAAATACTACAACTGATAAAACATCCAATTAACGTAAACAAAAACCAAACCACAACACTCAACTGGTTTTCATTTTGAAGTGTGTAATGTGCCAGTCATTCGTATAGCTGAGCAAGCTGGAGAATCCATGCATGTGTATCCCTGCTATACTATTCTTTATTTACCTGAGGGTAACATACATCTGTCGATACCTTTACTTAGTGGATGGTGTAAGGGTCAAACTCAAACAATATTTCATTATATGGATGGAATAAGAAACACAAACCCAAGATACTTAGATTAAAACAAGAGCAACAGCAATCTGATATATAACCATTACATTACCACTAGTAGTCTATGAATAAATAAATAATTGATCATCAGGACAGCTCTAAAAAGACCCCACAGTTCAATTCTATTAAAGCAATACTCAACTGCAACCTAAGCTTAATCTGCCGCTTCTGCATCATACCACTGATTACCACAGACAATTCTCATGCATTTCCATGTATTTAGAAAAGAACACATTCACTTGAACCACACGTGGGTGGGTTTCACAACATACGTGTTTTTAGCAGACCGAGGCGCATTTTTGTTCAGTTGCTTTTAACAAGAGAGACTTGTTTTACACGTTTTATGTCAAAAATGTTAATCTCAAGGTAGTCATAAGCACTGCTTCTATGACTTTTGCACAGGCCACATTTTATGTTTTATTTTTTACCCCAATATGTTACATTGAGCAAATAAACAATAATTGTGCATTAAAATGTGCAGAAGTTCATCCCCCCCAGGGTATGAGCCCTCTTTGCAGTAGAAAGAAGCCACTGGGCAATTGCTGAATTATCTGAATAAACATTTTAAAATATGATTATATAACATGAAACAGCAACTGCTCTGTGGTTTCTATTATAAGGGAATCTCAAGCCAACAGGTCAATACACTGAAATGTCTGTGGTAAATCAACCATTAACGTCAGATGTGACAGACAGAGGTTAGGTTGAAAAACTAAAGTATTCCTTTAACTTATCTTTTGAACTGGTCTTTATCCCTCTTTAACCTCCCAACCCCACAGGTGTCATCCCTCTTTTTATCCGCCTGTTTTTCACTCATCCCCTCCTTACACAGATAGTACTTATACATCACAGGTCCATTTAGATGCACTCTTCCATTCTTCCTTTATTCTTCTCTCACTTGGTCTTGCTCCTTGCCATTTCGCGGTCAGCTTGGTCAATGGCAGCCATGTTGCAGGAGGCGGTGATGAGGTGGAGTACGCTGATACCCGCCTTCAGCACACATACAACACCACACACCGCCAAGAGCCACTGTAGCCACACTAAAAATACACACACATACAGAGTTACATACAAGCGCTTTGGGGGTGTTCAAACTAGAACCAAATTTGTTCTTTATTATTTACTATTTAATTTATCTTGGCAATAAATGTCTTTTTGCTTGAAAGAAAAGGCTATACAACATTAGAATAAATGCTATGAAACAAATAAATGCACTAAAAAGTAACAAGAATTTCTAACCCTAGACAAGATAGAGAGAGGGAGAGGCAGAAGTAGGAAAAGAGAAAGAGGGAAGTGTGGCTAGGCAGAAGGAAACATTAGTGACCGCAAACACTCACCCTGTGGCTCTTCGATGTAGTACAGCACATACAGCAGGCAGTAAAACAGCTCATTCCCCATACACATGAAAAAGAGCACCGGCTATGGAAAAAAAGCACTGCAGTTAGAGGAGCCTATATACACTAGCGTATCGAAGTTTGGAATCACTTGGCATAAATATTTGTTATTTTTGTATTTAATAACAAATTAATACACAATGATACAAAAAACATAACAAAATATACTATATATATATATATATATATATATATATATATATATATATATATATATATATATATATATAAAGTTTACTTGGAATAATTCAATGTTAAATAATCCCTTCGAGATTTGAACATAAACTGCCTGCCAAAAGCTTTTCAAAATGTTGTGTAAGACCAATAAGCACCTTTTTTGTTGATTTGCAATAATGTAACATAATAAAGACTAACCAAATCTATCTTGATGAGAACAATCTCTCATGTGTAAATATTTGGGGCAGCATCTGTGATGGTGCTTACTTGGGAATAATGCCAAATCCCACATTGTTTATCCCCATGTTGTGATGTCATAACTCATCAGCACTCAAATCATTCAGCCGTTTAAACCACTGCTGGTTTCAATACGTGGACAAAAACACTGTCAAATTACTCGTCAGGCAAAGCCTTTAATACCATGATGAGCATAAAGCTGAGTGCTGCAAAATATACCCAAAGTGTAAGCAAATAGCTTTGCAGGTACTCTGTACTTAACTAGGCCCAGTTTCCTGAAGGCACCGAACAAGACATGAAAAAACAACATAAAAACGCAAAATATTCAGACTCAATTTTTTCGTATCAAAACTACACACTGGGCGTGACGCAATATTTTTTTAAATATAGATTTTGAAGATGCAGCTCTGCATAAGATGAAGCTCAAAACAAACAGACTGAATGTCTTCAAAAGCAAAAAAAGATCTACACCTCACAGATCGAGCAAATATGACACTGGGCTACTGTTCATTTTGGAAAAGTGAAAGTAGCATAAAGAGCTTTAGCACTTCATTCAGAAGCTGAATCTCTGAGTGCTTCCACACAGGCTATAACCCAGATGTGTAACTCAGTTTGAGCTGCTTTCAGAGATTCTGATCCTTTTGGCATTTGTAAAAACGTTTTATTTGCTGGAACACAGCTGCTCCATCATCTTGGTTGTCACCATGCCAACACCAGAGATGGCTGTGATTACTCAGATAGTTTATTTTGCAAGAAAAAGTCTGCAAACATCAAATAGAGGGAGAATAAAATTACATCACATTTTGGCCGTCTGAAAAAACAGGTTTTGTGTGCAAGATACAGTCAGTTATACACATGCTCAAATTACTGTCGTCTGAAAAAATTGCACTAATAGATCGTATTTGGTGTTAAGATCATCTTAACTGGTAGACAGAGAGTTTAGCATGATGATCACTCTACCATTTAAGAATCATCTTCATGCTAAGATGTTTTTGGCAAATACAGCCCTGAAAAGTAGGAGCGAGAAAAGTCTAATTTTAGAAGAAGACAAAGTGACAGGCAGCGTAGATATTTGTACTTGACCATTACCCTGGAGGTGTAATAGATCCTGAGAATGGGGTTGCCAGACAGGTCAATGGTTTTGTGGCTGGCTGCTCCCTTCATCATAGAGCTGAGAGAGAAAGATGCAAGAGGAAAGATCATAAATTTCTATTTGATACAGATGTTTTACAGGACAGATGGTGTAAAAATCTACTTTCTACTGCCAACTGATGAGACAATCGGGCAAATTCACATGGCACCTTCTAAACAGCAGTAGTGTGGAAAGAGAGCTTACAAGGGGGTTTTGATTTTCTCCTTGGCCCAAACGCAGTTGATCAGCCAAGACATTTTTGGTGTCTAAATATCTTTCTTTAATTTTGTACCAGAGCTACAAGGGTAACATAGCTGACAAGTGAAACTATGGCCATACAAACTTCCCTTAAACCACGTTTAGTAGTAAAAACAGATTTTTGTATGACACGGCATAACATACTGTTAATTATACTGTATAGCTAACAACAGTAATGGTAGTAAACTATCACTTTAACACTTTGTCATCATGCACCTTACATTATATCAAGCCCTATATCTGAGATCACAAAAATAATAAAGTAATTAATTTAGAAAAGAAAGAACAAAAATGAATTCCCTCTTTGATTTCTTGAACTGGGAGCCAGAGAGCCTTCTGAATTCCTGAGTAACAAGACAAATGACCATGGCACACTGCATACATCTGAAAGAAAAAAACTCACCTGTGCAGGTGCAGCCAGTGGCTGGCCACATCCAGGCTCATGCTCAGCTGAAAGAGGAAGGTGTAGGACGGGTAGAGCAGAGCCAGGTTCACCAACAGACACATGGTGGCACAGCGGTCAGTTAACATGTCCAGCATGGCACCAAATTTAGTGCCTGAATGGAGAGGAAGAGAGCATGAGAGAAAAGGAGAGAATTCTCCAACGGCAGAAATCACAATATGTCCCTATAAAGTACAAGGAAGAAAAAACTACCTTGATTAAGGGCTCTTGCTGCGTGTCCATCAAATGCATCTAATAGTGCGCTCAGCAGGTAACAGAACACTGCTGGAGCTGGACAGCATGGCATCAAATAGAAGGACAACAAAGCCAAAATAATTCGGGCATAACCTGTGGCGAGAAGAAAAGAGTGTGGTGAGCTAATTTAGCTTCTACTTTCTTTATATCAAAAATTCAAAATGTAGAAAAATACTAGCAAAATGCAACTTGACATTCATGTCAAAATGAATCTACATTATATATATATATATATATATACATATATATATATATATATATGTATATATATATTAGCATGTAAGATTTCATCTCTCATGAGCAAGAATTCATGGCTTTTCCCAGTTCATATTAATAGGAGGGATAAATGAGTTATTAAAATGCCAATTCTTACATGTAAGAATAGAAAGTTTTAGTATTACATGAAAGAACTGAAGTGAAACGTAACAATTTCATTTCTGCTAATAAGAAATCAACTGGAACAGGCAATAACTAGAATGTACACGTTTAAGTGCAATGTTTATCTGTGAACGTTAAAAATAAACATATTTTTCATATGGACTTCTCAGCTTTTAGTAATTCCACACTGTCAGCACTATCATATTTATTATTATTTACTCATTAATCTCTATATTGTGAGTACTGTTAGCATTTTTCTAGTTTGTCCCACAGAACAGAAAAGAACGTTTATTTCCAAACCCACATTTTAAAGCAAAGTTTTCATGGTGGTTTTGACCTGTGTTCAGGACAGTCCCTCCACATTAACATTTCAAACACGAAGAATAATTTTAGCTGAACACTTAACATAACTTGTTTTCTTCTGAACGTTTCTTTACTGGATGCAATGGCCAGGATTTTTGAATTATTCTATTTTACTTTTTAATGCACAAGTGGACTTATGAGGGCTTCTGCTCTAATTCAGGAGTGCCCAAACTTGTCGCCATGGGGGGCCAAAGTGAAATGTTTACAGTGGGCAGAGGACCAAAAAGACAAAACAATATACAAATAAAGAAGGTAGGTACGTTTTTAAAATGTATTTGGCACTGCACTGTATTCTGGTATTAAAATACTTTAAATTATGAAAATTTGAGTTTAATATGTTATACATAGTATGAAAATAGGATCTTTCATTAGGTGAGGAAGTGGGAGGTCAGCTTAATTTCTAGCAGACCAAATCAAACATCCCAGACCAACTTCGAGTCATACTAGCGAAAACTGTTCTCCCTATTAAAATGAATTGGGAAAGCCATGAGTTTTTACTGCTGAAAGCTTAATTTTGACATGTTAAACGCTACATTTTCACTATTACTAATAACTTATTTTCCAGTTCAAATAGAACTCCTGATATTAAAAATTGATTACAATTTTTAAATTTGATTTAAAAAAAATAAATAAATAAAAATGACTCTCCACAAAAGAGCAATGGTCACTCAAGACTGGAAAAATGCAAATAATTAGGAACTAGCTGCTGTTCCTGCTGGAGTAACTGAACCTGGCAGGTCACCTTAAATGGTGCAGCCTCATGTGCAGAACTACTGGCGCGAGGCCGATGTGAGAAGCCCACTGTATGGCTGACAGGATGTTGGTAACCGACTCAGACTGAGCTGCTGTACTTTTGCTTGAATAAACGAAGTTACCCTTTTTAAACTGAACGGGGCTCAAGTTGGTCTCCTATTCAGCGGCTTCTTGTCCGAGTTTTCCCGTTCCACCTTAAATGGTGCAGTAGTTTCTCCTACAGTGATCTCCGACGACCATTTTAGTTATGAAATTACCGGTTAAAACGATCCACAGAGCAAATCGAAAGACAGTCAGTCATTCAAACACGGCTTTAGCTCATCTTACTGATACACACTGATACACACACCGCGCTGAGCTGCGGAGTCTGCGAGCCTCGGCGGGACTTACCGATCAGATTCGGCACGAACAGAAAGATGTTTTCCTCGGCCATTATAATGGCCGTAGTGTGTTGATCAGAAGGCTGATTGGGTTTTTGTGAGAGTTAATTCTGTGTCGCTGTTTCTTTCAGCAGCTCGATGATTGTCAGGAAGCGTACATTTGTCGTAAGGTGTGACGCCATATTTCCGGTCGCGCAGTTAACCCATTAATACCCGTGTCTGAGTTTCAGTCCTTGAAATCTACATTTTCAGAAAGAATTAAAATTTTTTAAAAAAGTAATAGTAAATTCTGTCGTTTGGTCACACGGGGTTACTGATTAACTAAACAAAAATGGAGCTTTTTGTGTGTGTGTGTGTGTGTGTATATATATATATATATATATATATATATATACACACACACACATACATATATATATATATATATATATATATACACACACATACATATATATACACACACATATATATATATTTATATATATATATACATTTATATATACATACATATATATACACACACATATATATATTTATATATATATACATTTATATATACATACATATATATATACACACACACACATATACATATATAATTAGTAAATCAATACAAAAAAGGGGAGTGTAAGAAATTCAAAACCATCGCTTTGCACCCTTCAGAACAAGGTCTGTAGCATTTTTTTTCTTCTTTTCATACTAATATTGGTCATTGGACAAAGCAAAAGCCTTCCCCTTTAATCTGCACCATCTCCCTCTTAACCAGAAAAAAATATTTATCAGAAAAATTCTCAATCTGGTAGAACCAAACAATGCAAAAAAAGCACTGGATTGTGCCATTACAAATCTATAAAAATGATCTGTAAAAAGCTGTATTAATGCATCACTCAGAAAGAAATATATTTAATTCTGATAACCTTAATTTACAACTATGATTTGTAAAGCCAAAAGATTTTGTTGATTTGTTAGGTGCAAATACTGCAACAAATAAAGTCACAATCGTCACTTTACATCTGCCTTCCTGACTATCATATTACAGAGTTGTAGACAGTTCATCCTCTTCCTCTCTTTGGAAAATCAGCTATTTGCTGGCTGAAATAAATCACTGTGAACTAAAAGGCAAATAGAACCTCCGCTGTCAATAAAAGATAAATTTGTATGAACAACTTCTCTTGGTTTAAAACGGTTATTTTTGTTTGCCACAGCTAGTGATGGCTGTGTTAAGCCTCTGGGACAGGCCTGCAATTAACATTTGTTGTTAATTGACCAGATAAACACAGCAAGTTGACATGTCTTGCAGAGAGAATGCAGTCAGTCCCACAGACTCTTGTCTCTATGGTAACCTCAGACCCTGTCCAGTGTGTTGCTGCTTCAACATGACTTCAGTGACTCTGGCCAGCAGTGAAGATTAAAAGCGGTGAAGGCTACAGCAGTGGCTCATTAAGTGTAGGTCTCACAAAGCTGACAGCAACAACATGATTATACACAAAATACACAACACCGTTAGAAAGATGCACAAAAACAGACTGAAAGAATGACTCGAATGCTGGATTTTTATCCTTTTAATTACTTGTTAATGGTTTCTGTACAAGTTCTATAACCCATTTCTTGTTGTCCTGCTCTTGTTAAACCTGAACACAGTTTGGCCTTACGTATCACACTTTCTCTGAACAGCCTGCTTTTCCTCTCTCTACCACACTTTTACATCAACACATGCTGTGATAGCACACTTCCCCATGTTCAGTCCTTGGCCTGAACTGCCCCCATTCTTCCGACACAGCAGAGACGGGGACAGAGGTACCCACGCTTTCCTCTGACCATTCTGATTTCTTAGTCCCAGACTTATAAACACCCCCTCCAGAACAGACGGCTATAAGAATCCAGCACGTTTTGCTGTAAACACATGGAGTGAAGTGGGCCAAAGCTACAGTGGCCGAGGTTTAGAGTGGTTCTCCTCCTCTGTCTTCAAAGGTAAACAAACTCAGTTACAACAAAGGAGATTTAACATAGGAAATAAAAAAAAAAAGATTAATTGAAGGGGATGTTGGGGCAATGGGAGCTGAAGAAGGGAGCAAACATAAAAAAGGTAAAAAGGAGAGAGGTCAGGCAGACACAGGAGTGTGAGGTACTGCAAGTCTCCTTAGTGTGTGTATGTGAGAAAGAGAAAGACAGAGGGAGAAAAGACAAAGCATGGAGACAATGAAAGGTAAGAGAAAAAAAAGAATGCAAAAAAGAAAGAACAAGGAAAAAGCACAAGTTAGAATACAGGAAAAAAAAAGGAAAAAAAGGGAGATGAAGTAAAAATGAAAAGAAAGAAAGAAAAAGAGAGAGCGAGAGAGTGTTTATGTATGCAAGTGAGCGCTGGTGTTTGTGAAGAGCTGGCAGTGTGGAGGTTTGGAGACCCCTTCAGTTCACTGTGAAAATCTTTGTACGTTATGAAGGACATCAGTATCGCCACCATTCAGGTTACTGAGACAATTTGGTTGTCCATGTAAACAGCTCAAATTGACTTTAGTGTGTCTAGAAATGAAAAAAGAAAAAAGAACAACACCTAGGCAGGAAATGATATGACAAAACATGCTGGATCAGAGGGGGCGTTTTAGACAATGTACAATTAGCTAGAAATTTTCTATACAGCTAAAATTCTTTAAAATGTCCTGTACAAGTTTAATACTGGCTCTAAAATACTACAATCCCAAGAATGCACTGCTTAACAGACTCCTAACCCTGAGACGTAACAAGGAATGCTGGGATAGGTAGTCTTTTCTCTTTTTTCCCCCAATCCCCTCCCCCCCCTCCCTAAAAGTGAGACTTCTCAAGTTCTCCATCACAGTAAAATCACTTGCATTCTCCACCTAGTGGTCAATGTTGGCAAAAAAGGAATTAAAACAGTTAAAAAAAAAAAAAAGGAAAAGAAAAGAAAAAATAATGCAGTAATAAAAAAGAATGACAGAATTAGTTTAGAATTAATTACAACATAAATTACAACTGCAGTAGTTGAAGTAATGATAACAGTATGTTTTTTCATTTCTTACTTTCGAATTACTATATGTTCCCATAGCAAAATTATCATTATCCTATACAAGAGTTGAGTTAGTGCTTTTATGTACACACGCATTATATAAGTACAATATAGATCAAAAGTATTTAACAGTGAACAATCTTAAACCTAGCTGTCAAACTTTTGACAGGTATAATACACATATATACTCACTCATATATAAATGTGCTGTGTGTACGGTTTTGTATACAAATGGCCTCTGTACATTAGGGCTTGATGCACTAATCAGCTCTCCTATGGACATGTACATTACATAAACATATGCCTTTGTAGAGAGAGACAAGGAGATGTAATAGTAACACACTGCCCTCTTGGCTTTTCCAACACATCAGGCAGGAAGAAGACACCACTATGATCCTTTTAACACAACCACACAAAAAAGTGTCACTGACAATTGCTGCTTGACTAAAACTAACAACTTGGCATCATGTGCATATGAGGACATTGGGCGGAGTTGCTTTAGGTCACTCGAGCCTCTGGATGGCAGTACGCAAAGAAAGTGTGGCAAATAAAAATAATCTTGCTTCCCAAAAAAAACAGAAACAAAAAAAAAACAAAACACTGAATTCTCCTTGTCCCTAGTACAAATGTGCATTCTAATGACCATTTTTGATTAGTGTGGTTTTAGTATTATATACACAACTACATGGTATTTATTTCAAGCACCCTCTTTTGTGTTTCAGTTTAGTTTAATATCTTTAAACCGATTTTAAAACGACATGCTACTAACTTTGATGCAGCTTGCTATTGCCTCTCTCTCTCTTAGTAGTAAAGCTCATATTGGCAGTTTAATTATCATTTCCTGGGCCTTAAAGTCCCAATCAGGAACAGTTGAAACAGCACCATGCCAGAACAAAAAAAGGGGTCTGCAGTTTTCCCAAAGCGTAGTGTACTTTTCCTGTTTGAAAGTGTCTATTTTTGTAGTACCAAAAACTGGCATGGATACTGCAGTGATTTCTGATTGGAGCCTTAATTGCTGATGGGGGCTAGGAGTATTTCACTTTCTGTTGACAAAAGTCAGTCCAGAAATCTAGCATCTAATCTTTCAACGGATTCTGACAGTTTCACTAATGTAGTGTAGGGGTGGGAATCTCTAGGCACGTCACGATTTGATGTGATTACGATTCAGAGGGCTGCGATGCGATTATAAAACGATAATTTTTTTTCTATACAAGATTTCTATTTTTCTCACTGCGTGACAACTTGGAACTTTTAAAGCAAAGTATTTTTCAATATATTTCATAACTTCGGTTTTGGTCTAGATGTAGGGAGAGTGGAGGTCGCTGTGTCGGTAAAATATCTTTGAGAGGGGATGCTTTATTGAGATATAGAGATACAGGGCAAAAGCCCTGGTTCTCAAAGACTGAGTACGGATGCAAACCCTTGGCAATAAAATTTGCAAGAGCTTGTAGTTCGCTTCGTCCTTTCCAAGTTGAGTGGAAGTTTTGACATTGCTGGATCGATGGTCCTCTGGTTGGCAGCAACTACAACCGTGCGGAAAATGGATGGAAACGTAATATGGTTTCCCCCTCTACTCCATAGTAGCCAAAGTGCTTCCATACGCTAGCTCAAGGGTCGGCAACCAGCGGCTCTTTTGCTGGCCGCCTTCGGCTCCACAGCAGTATTCAATTTTCTAGGTAAAAATAAAATAATCCTCCTTTGCAGTAAAATAAAGCTCTGCTGATTGTTCAAACACAGTTTTGACAAAAAAATGATAAACACTGGAATTATTATAGCCTGTAACTGCCAGTTCACCTAGCTAGTAGCTAGAAGAGAAAGATTTAAGATAAACATCAATAATTCGGAGACATTTAAACTGCAACGAGAAACTGTCAAACGCTAAAAAAGCATGTGAAACTGAAGTCAGTTTATCGTTCTCCAGCTTCTTGTTTGAATTTTCCCATTTCACCCTTTGCAGCTGTTACATTCTGGCGCCTCAGGCACCATTTAAGGTGGAACAGGAGAATTCGAATGAGAAGCTGGAGAACGAGAAACTGATTTCAGCCTCGTAAAAAGTAAAACATTGAGAGACATTTTAAAAGCAACTGTTCTACTTTTGTGGGAAAGTTTCCAGCTGGTGATGCAAGAAAAGCAGCTACAGCTGAGCTAAAGCTTAATGCAGAGCAAAGCAAGTCTGCGTTTTTATTTGTATTATATTTTTAGACTATACTAGGACATTAGCAAGTCCTGAGACACATGGACTCAAAATTTTGTGGCTCCCAAGGTGGTTTGATTTTTGTTGAAAAGACAAAATGACTTATTAGCGTTTGGGTTGCGACCCCTGCACTACCTTTTAATGTAGTGTGCCGCCACAGACTGTCCGCGCGCTGCACTTTGCAAAGTTCCGCCTTTTGCGTTCCGTCAACATTACGTTATTAGTTAAAATTTAGAAAATCTATTTAACATTTGTGAATTGACTCAGAATCGTCCACGTCCGCATCGCGACGCATCTAACAATCGAGTTTTCTCCCCACCCCTAATGTAGTGTTTGTTACAAGGGTGTGCTAGCACTTCGCGGCAAGCAATTCAAGCATTGCTCTTTCTAGAGGTAGCCTGTTGAATTTTCTGGTCTACTGATAAATGTGTTCTTCCTCTCCACGAATACAAAAAAAAGCCCCCAACAGAACCACTGAATGACCATCCTGCCCTACAGTATTGGCACCATTCACTTTTGCATTCTACCTTCAAATATCAAGCACATACCCTTCTTTCTTCTCTCACTCTGTGACATCTCTGTCTTTAGCGCCTGTTTTTCCCCCCACCCCCCCACCCACTCCCTTGGTAACCCTGAGTTCAATCTACCTTATGAGTAAAGGTGATGACTGCTGCTCACTGTCTAAATACTGATCAGAAAAAGCCACAGCATGGGCTACGGCTAATCCCACCTGATTTACTATTAAAGGGGTGGAATGAAGATCTTTCAAATCCACACTAAATACCAGCCAACAAAGGCTCCAAAACACTAAAGAGCCTAACCCAACCCAACCCGAGGACCTCCCTTGTAAATTTCTCCCAAAGGCGTCTGCCTCCTTGGTGACTTTAGGAGTAGGAGAGGTGGGATCCATTGGAGATGTGAGAGGTGACTGAGGTGCTGCGGCTCAGGCCTCCATCTCCACCTGGTCCTCCTGGCCCTCCACCCGACGCTGTCCTCCTCAGGGGCCCCGGGCTGTTCCTCAGGGCCATCAGACTGGGGCCCCTCACCACTAGGCCCTCCCCTCTCCCTCCATACCCACCCTGAGAGGAGGAAGAGGAGGAGGATGACTGGGGAGAGGAGGAGGAAAGAGAAATGGGTGGAGGTGGTGGAGGAGGAGGAAGCAGAGCAAGAGACTGAGAGGAAGCGTGGGCAGAGAGATGGTGGTGTGAGTGTCCATGGGAGTAGGACGATGAAGAGGAGGAGTGGTGGCTCCCTCCTCCTCCGCCCCCCCACTCTCTCTCTCGCTCCCGATCTCGTTCACGGGTCTCCCGGTACAGGTGCGGTGTGCTCTGATGGTGGTACTGCTGCGGAAGATAATGGAGGCGATGGTGGGATGAGGAGGATGAAGAGGAGGATGACGAGGCTGACGAAAGAGAACTAGGCAGGCCACGCGATCCCAGTATGTCGAAATCTCGCTCGCTGTCCCTCTCCCTCTCTCGAATTGAGACTGACTCGACTCTCCCGAATCCAGCTGTGCTGTTCTGGCTCCTCCAGGAGGGGGGCGCTGCTGAATTCTGAACGCCATGGCTCCAGTGACTGCCCGAGCGGGGCACAGGGCGAGAGGGCCAGCCACCGGGCCCTGAGGAGGGTGGGTTGGGGTAGCCCTGGCTGTAGGCCTCAGCAGGGATGCCAGTGAGGGCCATGTTGCTGAAACCCAGCCGCATGCTCTCAGAGTCGAAAGCCTCAATCTCTCGGGCCTGCCGCTCCAGCAATGTCCGGATGCGCTCAGAACGCTCATTCTGAAGAGAGAGCATCTCTTCCTCAATCTGAAGAGAGAGAAGGATATATAGTATGTAATAATGTGTAACAAACATCTCTGCTTTGTGAAAGGCAAAACTTCGGTGTCTAATCCATAAAATTCTAACACGATTCTTTAGGAAATTATTTAATACACCATGAAATTTCAAAATCTACAATTTTACTATTTTGGTAGGATTCTGAATTATTTTTAAAACAAACAGGGGGTGGTGTTTTATTCTTGGAAACAGCCAGAGAATATATAACTGATACTAATAGATTTTAACATCATTCCAAAATCAATGTATATACGATACTTGCATGCATGTGTGCACACATGTCTCACCCTCTGTTCAAGCAGCGCTCTCCGGATGGATACTCTTTGCTCCAAGTCTTTAACCTCCCTCTCGTGCTGCGTATCAGTGTGCATTTTAATCTTGCTCTGATACGCGTTCAGCAGCTCCAACTCCTGTTGCAGCTGCATCCTCAGGACCTGGTACTCTGCCTCCTGCGTCTCATCCAATCGCAACTGAAGAGATAAGCAAAGGAGCAGGATGTCAGTGGAGAATCAGACAGTCAGGGGCTGAGATGGCTTTAGAGAGTTTCAGAGACATCTAGGTACCTGGTGTGATCCATACTCCCAAAACATCCCATATAATGGTTATATAAAATATAGGGCTTGCTTTGGTATTTGGTTCTCTATGTAGCATTCAGAAGCTATGTCTTTTTTTCATGCTTTCTATGTAGCCATTTAAGTTAAAAGAGCAACGATGCTCTTGGGTAGGAGCATATATTGTAATATGTGCCTTTGGTTATGTGGTGCAGGCATTAGAAGCACCATCTTACCATCTTGCACACATGCTCTGTGAACGGAATTGTGCAAGTGTGTGTTATGTAGTGTGTGAATTAGAAGGCGGTCTCTCCTTGCCTTACTCACAGCCTGTGTGGACAGCAAGTCATTAATGGAGTGGTCGTACTGCTCAGCCAGGATGGCCAGTTTGCGAGTCTGCTCCTCCTTCAGCCTCTTCAGCACGGCCTTGTGGTCCGACTTGGGTGTGGTCTCCAGCAGATGGTTCCGCAGTGCCTTGTACTGCCTTGTCTGGATCTTACACGTGTCCTGGAACTGGCGCTTGATCTGTAGCTCTTTAGTCTGAGAGGCCCAAGGTGTGTGGGGGCGGAGGGGGGGGCGCAACAAAAGACAAAATGTATATCTATACCATATTGTTGCTGTCGGAAACAAAACCTTGTATCTCCAAAATGATGACTTTACAGGAGAAGGATAAAAAAAAGTCAATAAAACCAGACTTTTTTCAAAGTAATTTTGGGCAGTTTCTTTTGGTCCATTCATCATGAAAATTACACACAATGTAAAGGGCAACAATTGCTTTCAAATTATGTCAAAAACTGAAAAACGACAAAAATGAAGATACAAGGTTTTGTTCCAACAGCAGCGATATGTATCATTGAGGTGGGCAACATGGCAAAAATAAGATCACAATACTTAGAAATTTTCATGATATCCATAATAATATTATTTTGAGGTCTCTAAGGTCTGATGAGTTGGAACAGACAAAAAAAAAAGAACCAAAATAACCCTGCCAAAGTTTTTTTCTCCTACCAAATAACACTACCAAAATCATGACAATAATATTAAAATATCATCATAAAATAATAGCATCAAAAACTAGTACAATGATTTTTGGTCAATGTTTCACATACTGCACTATACTAAACTACATAGGTTCAATTATTCTCTAAAGCATGCAGCTGGATATCAAGAAAATACTCGGAAAAGCATATTTTGATGTTGTGTGATGGAACGTATCTTGAGGATAAATATAGTCATGTTATCCAGCACCACTGCATCATTAACCACTCTAAAACCACAAACAGAAAAATTACTCGCTCACACTCACACATGGCTAGTGAACCCATTCTGCGTGCACCAATTTCCGCTCACCTTCAGGCTCTTGGGCTGCTGGCGGACCTCCATGCTGTGCTTCTGCCGCAGCTCCTGCTCCCGCCGCTTGTTGTAGTCCATCTGGTTGGCGAGCTCGCTCTGATGCTGCGTGCGGATAAGGTCAGCACGAGTGTGCTGCACAAGGCCCAGCTGCCGGAACTCCAGCTCCTGCGTGGACTCATGATGCCGCAGCAGCATTGCACACTCCAGATCCTTTTGTGTCTGACGCTTATTCAGCTCCTACAGGGTGATGCAAGATAACCATAATAAGACTGCAAGCAGTAAACAAGGCAAACATCATTCAAACTCAACCCAAACATGTAAAATTTTTAAAACGTGTTGTATATTTAATAAGCGTAGTAGGGTTGCCAAGTGTTTTGTTTGATACCAATGTGATAGGAGAACCACAAAGGCCCTAATTACTGCATTCTATATGGCAAACATCTGGTGCAGCAAAATTGAGCATTCAATGAAAAATGCTGTTCTCAACCAATAAGCTTCCAGACTCATAATGTGTTCCAAAAACCAAGGACTATTAGGTAGCCCGACAAATACAGGTGGCCTCGACAAAAATACAGATCGTTTAACATAACATCACAAATATCACGTTATATGTTTTGCATAAACACAACCACAATATGGCATATATTCAGAATACGATAATTTACCCTAAGACTCACTGACCTCACAGTACAGGATGATTAAGCCAGTGCAAAAGTTCAGCAGTTTGTCAATGACAATACCTGCACCAATAGCTTGCGTTGTCTGCATAGGTGTGCTGTGGAAGCATTACCTCTCTGAGCAGGTCTTGCTCCAGGTTGTGTCGTGCTAGCAGCATCTTCCTCTTATACTGTCTACACTGTAGCTCGTAATACTGCCTCTGGCGGCGTAGTAAGCCAGCCTCCTCCTCTGCCTGGATCTGCTGGAGACACTCCTTCTGCCTCACGAGCCACTCCTGTTTCTCCCTCTTAGGGGTGGACTGGTTCTCATTCAGCTCCTGCACACAAATCAGAGCACACTTTCAAAGTGAATTACACACCAAGGTTATTATCTTAACATTTTCATTTGTTTTTTGATGCAAGTTTAGTTTCACTTAGATTTAAGTGTGCATAAAGAGTTTTAATTTTGTTTTTATTTTCTGAAAAGTCCCATTTCTAAACACTCAAACACTAAAAAAAAAACAAAAACTAAAGTTTTTTCTCAGTAATTCTATTTTGTTTTAGTTAGTTTTTCAGTGGAGAGTGGAGTTTTAAATCTTGCTTTCATGTTTTCCATCATTTTTATTAAAGTTAACAAGCTCATTTTTTCACTGCTAGTTTTCATTTTAGTGCTAGTTTTATTACCCTTTAATTACCCTGCCAAACACACAAAATAGCAACAGTTTTTTCTTGTCTGTTCAGGTTGACATTGAAGTATATACAGATCTTTTTCTGATATTCATTCATTAAATTATTAGTTCTATATTTATTGTAAATTTTACTTGCAACATGTAGCAACAGCTTGGGGATCAATATAAAATCACCATAACAAATATACTGTCACTGTGTGAACAGAACCTTGTATCCCCAAAATGGTAATTTCACAGGAGAAAGGAAAAATGTTCTCAACTTGTGACGTACGTTAATGTAATGTAATTTTATTCCAAGCAATTTTGGACTGTTTCTATTGGTCTATTAATCATAAAATTTTGGAACAATGTGAAGGGAAAGCCGTCAGTTTAAAAAAAAAAAAAAAATCACTAATGAAGATAGGTGGTTTTGTTCCAACAGCAGTGACAAGCAAATGTAAAAATAAATTACCTTATACAGAATAATTTAAATAAATGAAACATGCATATAATAACTGCAAGTGTCATGTCCATAAAACAGATTGAAGAGAAACCAACAACCTGTGCTCTGACACACAAATCAACTGTAGCCTGTAAACAGCCTTACATAAGATTGCACACAAAGAATGTGTGGGTTCAAAATGCTTGACGATAGGGCAGATTTTCGACTTCGTGATGGTGAGATGAGATTGGTGTTAGGGTAAATGTTAGTCTACTATGTCACTAAACAAAAAAATATTAGCTGCACAAATTAGTCTAACTTAAGCTTATTTTATACCGAAAGCTATGTGTAAGGCAGCAAAGCAGAACACAAAACTAGACTTGAAGCACTGAGTGTGATGACTTTGTGATCTAAAACTCAGCTGTACTCATGAAAAAAAAAAAGGCCAGTTATGAAGAACTGTACTGAGTAATAAACGGAGATCCTGATTTAAATGCTTTTTTGCACAGCCCTATTCAGATTTTTCAGATAAAAGAAAAATTCTGATAATGTAGAATAATCTACAACAATATGCCTAAAATAATCTGAAGAATACATTCATGTTCCTTCCTGCATGCACGTACCTCTTTAAGCTGCTCCTTGCGCTGTCTGTACTGCCGTTTCTGGGACTCCAGCAGGCTGGTGAGCTCTTTCTTCTGCTGGCCCAGGATGTGCTGCTGGAACTTCTTCTCCTCAGCCAGGGCTGCTTTAGTCTGTGGAGCAGTGCAATAATTAGAGATCTACACACACTCAGCAAATCACAAACACTACAAATTCTTACTTAGAAACCTGCTTCAGCTCAGATCATTTCCACCCCATATTTCATAGTAGCAGTACACCTGAACTTACTTACGCTTACTTTAAAAAAATTCTCACTTGCATTACTAGTTTATTGTCTTGCTGAGCTCTGTAAAATTCTTTACAGAGAAATACTTTTGCCCTCTTTATCTTCCCTGTCTAAAACATCAAGACTTGCTCCTTAGATCTCTGTACATCCTGGACCCCCACCTCTTTCTCCAAGATTGCCTGATGTTTCTTGGCCAGTTTGTCTGCCTCGCTACTGAAGCTGTTCCTTTGGCTCTCCAGCTCTTTGTCCAGCCGCAGCTGGTGCTCATCCATCTCAGCCTTTAACTTGTTCTCCAGTGCCAGCAGCTGCTTCTGGTGTTGCCGCCGCATGCGTTTGTAGCCAGTCATTTGCTCCCGAAGTGCTGAGCCCTGCTCGTGCTCTTGGATCTGCCGCGTCACCTGGGAGACGGAATAGACATAGGGGCTTCCAAATCAGCCAGGACCACCACAAAAAATTGTCAAGAAAAAAAAAAATTGTAGAAACAGTTCATAATTTGGTTACAGTATGATTATCCGGTGAAGACAGTTACTGGTGGGTGCAATACTGTAAAATGGAAAGATCAGCAGAACAGACTGGCATGGACAGCATGTAATGACTATTAAACTAAAGAAAATACACTAGAGGAAATGTAGCACTTAATGTTAAACTAACATGTTGTCTTGGAATATTAAGGACAAAGCTCAGAAATGAAAGATGAGGTCCTGTTCTGTTTTCTCACCAGTGAAGCTGTGCGGATGGTGGCGAAGTGATCACGGTTGCGGTAGTGTGCTCTTCTGCGAGCTCCTGAGGCTGCCTGCTGTTGCTGCTGTTGCTGCTGCTGCTGGGAATCCATCTCCGGTTGGTATGGGTCATCATAGATATTATCAGGACCCTGACAGACATACAAATCAAGGAAAATAGCTACATCAAGGAAAAAAAAGTCACATGAAGAACAAAGTACAGGGAGATTCACTCGAAAGAGGCCCCGAATATTCTGTAATAACTCTCGGCTTGGCTTCAGTGACTGGTACTGGCCCCTTTGGCAGAAACAACTTTTGTTTCCTATAACCGTCTACCAGTTTCGGACATCTACTGGGAGAAATTCTAGCCCATTCCTCCATGCAGAGTTCTTTCAACTGTGCACTGTTTGAGCATATCCTTGCATGTACAGTCTGTCCCAAACCCCTCACAGCACTTCAACGAGACTCAGATTTGGGCTTCGACTAAGCCATTCCAAAACATTAAATTTCTTTCTTTTGAGCCATTCCTTTGTGAAGTTTACTTGTAACAATAATAATAATTATAAACAGTACTTACAAACCACTTTTCAAGAACAAGGTATTGTCCAAGATATTCTCTAACAGTGCACCTGATTTCAATTTGACATGTCTGAAGTAGTGATTTACATTGGGGTGTACTTGCTTTTTCATGTAAGAAAACAACATTAGTTTATTTCAATTATATAAAGGATGACAAAAATGTTATTTCTAAGTCTCACTTGTTTAATTATATTACCTTCATCTATTGACATTGTTTAAATTAAGCCTTGATGTCAGTATCGCCAAAATGTAGAAAAAGTCTTTGGCCCACATGATTGTACACACAACCTACTAAAATAAAACTGCTTGTGGCTATATATTCTTAAGACCTATTCAAGTTCAGGCTTACTTGGGAAGTACAATCATTTGCATGATTACCAACAAGATCCATTATTTTAAGCCAAAATGATTCGCAATGTGCGTAGTCAGATTGCAATAAGGTCATTGTGAATGACCCGCTGTAATTTGCTGAACCTGAAGCACTGCTAACAGACATGTACATGTCTATATATGTGATCACATATGCTATCGAATGTATGTAACACTTACATTAACAACCAGACTATCATCTTTCAATCCAGACTGCCTTTAATTTCGGGGTATTCAGAAACTTCATCCTGTGCTAATCAGCCAGCCAAATCCTTCACATTGCTTTATAGAACCCCCCCATTAACACAAATCCAGCTCAAACAGGGCTATAGACAATCCTGCATTCAGTCTATGTCTCTCTCTCTCACCTCCACAATACTCAACTCCAAATACACAAACACACACATCTACTTACAGAGGGCCGGTGAATGATGGAGCTGTTGGAGGTGACTGTGTGCTCTCCTTCTCCCATCATGGCCATCTCAGCACTGTCATCTGAACCATCAGCCAGGCTGTTGACTGAGGAGCTCTGGGAGCTGGCACTGATGGACATGGAGGGCACCGATTGAGAGCTCTCCATGCTGTTTACCGTGCCTGTCCGCAACAGATACTGCTCCACATCCTACACACATGCACACACATACACATTATCTATGCACATACATAATAATCTGACCAAAACAACTGATCAAAACACGAAAGAGCAACACAGGTGTTTGTGTGTTAGACAAAGGGAGGAAAAAGACAGAATTAACAAAAACACTGAATAACATTTTAAAGAAAAAAAAAAGACCAAAACTGATGCAGAGAGCCAGTATGAAATAGGGATGTGCGCAAGTACTCATGTACATGATTAACTGTTCCCAGTATAGGAATACTGAATTCACTATCCAGGTACTCATTCTATTTCATAACAGAAAGACGGAGAAAATACAGAGACAAAAAAATCAATGTAATGGGACTTTAGATTTTAACAGGACTGTTAAAAAAATTGTTACGCTTCACTTTTGCTTCTTTTTGTGAAAATGTATAGCACATTCTGCCACTCCATAACAAAGTGCATTAACACGAGCGTGTTGCCAAGAACATGTTAAAGACGTACTTCAGAAAACCGACTGTTAACTTGTCTAGCTGATGTTTGCTAGGTCCAGAAACATTAGGAATATATTTCTTTAACAAACTACATGTTGGCACATGTTCCACTGAGGAGAAAAGACCTTGTGTAAGAGGACAAGTCCTCATCAGCATGTAGTGTTGTATCGGTAAGCTGTCATTTTGGTTTCACATCTGAAGACGCCACCTCAGTTACTCATCCAACACGAAAATTAGGAATTTCCCTGAGCATTTTTAAAAAGTAAAACGTCTTCAAATGTACTCCTCTCACGGCTGTAAATTTTTGCGCCTCTTAACACCAGAGCTACAACCTAAAAGAGTAAGCCATACTTTAATTTTGGCCGAAGAAACTTTTTTCCCTTCCCTGTGGTTAACCAGATGCCTGCTAATTAACTCATGCTGATTCTCAAACATCAAAATTAACCAGGTTGCACATCTCTAGTGTGAAAAGATGTTAGCGTGGAATTCATACTTCCTCCTCCTCGCCTCCGTCTTGTGTGGGGCCATTGTGCGTCTCCTGGAAAAGAATTTTCTTCATCTTCCTGTATTGCAGGTTGTCCAGCTCCCTCACTGCATCTTTAGTGCGTGCGATCAGATCCATCACCACAGACAGGGGGCGCTCTCGACACAGGAACCGATGCTGCAGGAAGATAGCAGGTCAAAAAGAGAACATAACACATTCCAGACTTGCATATACAAGCATATCAGCAGTTTTCAGCCAGATCAGTGTGTATGTGACCATGTCATTTGAAGTCAAGCAGAACGTGTATCAGTTAGATCAGTTACAACCAGCACTTTCCACACAGCTTATTCAACACAAAAGTGAAAGTTTGCATTAAGGCCGGGTGATGTATAGTACGTTATTGATGTACTGTGATACTGATTTTCACTTTCAGTCAATTTTAGTGATACATTTGATATTGAGCATTATACACATTACGTAGTGCCCAAAAAAGCAGTGTCCCTGTTGTCAAGCAGTTTGTTTTTAGTTTGTGATTCTATTTTGTGCACTTTACTTCAGATATCCAGAACAGTTAATTGTCAGTTACTGGGTACTTCAGATTGTACTAAAGGAGCATTTTACAATATATAAATATTAAACATTCTTTCTCTAAATGTGCTTTCTGTTTGTTTAATGTTTACAATATTGTGTAAGGTTCCCTTTTGTCTACTTTATGGAATAAAAGGGTGAAAATAAAAAGTATTAAAGGTTTATAATATACTATTTTAGCACAATGTACTACCATTAAGGGAGCTTGGGTTCTTTACCTTTATTAATGCTAACTTAAAGTACTGCCCAGCACTAATATGTATGGGTATGCACACACCGAAGACATTTAAAGCATATCGTGGTTGTTGGAAGAAAACCTCATCTCTCAAATGATAACTTTACAGGAAAAGGAAAAAAAACATACTTTACTTTTAAGGTAAGTCAATGGAACCAGTGTTTTTGTCCAAGTAATTCTGAGCCATTTGTTTTGGTCCATTCATTAAGAAATGTACATACAATGTACCGGACAACAGGTATTTTCAATTTATGTTAAAAACTGAAAAATGACAAAAATGGAGATACAAGGTTTTCTTTCGACAGAAGCGATATGCAAAGACTGTGCCACTGCACCAGCTGATTGTTGTCAACTTGTATAGGATATAAATGCCAACATATTGCTTCTCTCTAAGTGAAGGTAAAAAAGCTGGAAGAATACTGATTTAAAGTGTATGAGAGAATGTGTGTGTATGTACTCAGGGGTTCAGTCTTACATTGAGCAGCACGTCAGAGGTAGGCCTGTCCTGAGGAATCTTCTGTAGACAAGAGTCCACAAAGTTACGGAAATAATCTGACCTGAAAATATAAAGGAAAAGGATGAGCAACATTAAATGTGAAATATGACCAGTATTTATAAAGCATTAAGAGTGCTTTGGCATGGACCAGCGTAAGATACAATGATAACAGATCCTAGGTCAACACTCCTACGGTATGTATCAAGGTTTTGGAATATTCGAAACAGGTTTTTTTGGCTTGATCAACATGCATAGACCAAGTTCGATACAGCCTTTGTTCTACTTTTTCCGACACAGCTATATTTTGACCTAAATGATAGAGATTTTAAAAGCGGTGCAACATACAGAAACATTTTCTTGGAGATTCAATTTTCATACTGTTAAAGGTTAAACATTTTTTTAAATTATTTTTTTTTATTTTTTTTAAATAAAGTTTTAATAAATGTTAATCTTGCACAGTAGTTATGTAGAACAATTAATAACTACACCAGCACTAAATGTTAAAAAAAACAAAAAAAAAACCAAAACCAAACATCGAATTCAAGTCAGGCTGCAGGCAGTTTCAGAATGATTTCTCTATGCTGGCTTTTATTCTGTGTGTGCAGATTTAAGTGTTAAGTCATAAAATCTAATGTTAAAACAAATTATCCCCAACTCATACAATTTATAAGTAAGCTGAGAGATATTTAACACAAAAAAATGAACACCAAAGAGCACACGTAGAGATGCTTACCAGTGATTTGACGCCAGGATGGGGCTTTCGTTCTGAGCAATGTGATATAAGGCACTCATAGCATTCATATTAAACAAGGGCGGTTTTCGCTCCGCTAGAGAAAAATATGAGAGAAAGAGAGAATGAATACATAAAGGTTACAAAAGACAAGGTAGTGATAATGAATTTCAGAAGTGAAGGGAAGTGAAAGCATCAAGAAGCAAGTGAACAAAACAAGAGGAAGGGAGAAAGACAGAGAGAAATAGAGGGAATGAGAGAGATGTCAGCTTGTAACCAAAGCAGCTTATAAACTTAACCCCAAATCCCTCTCCTGACAGGCCTCACAGACACAAAATCCCACACACAACCACACCGGCCTAAATGTCTACTGTGACCTACAATCACAGTGGGTGTCAGGTGCTGAAAGTTAAAGGTCATCTGCTGGTCATCTGGGTAGCACTCACCTAACTCTATGCAGGTGATTCCCAGAGACCAGACATCCACCTTCCCATCGTACTGACCCTCATCCATCGCCAAGATAACTTCCGGGGCCATCCTGCACACCAGAGGGCAAAGAGCAAACATCAGGCAAAAAAAATCAAAGCTGGGGGGCAGAATTTGGCTAGTCAAGTGAGCCTGGCTAGTCCTAGTGGCCAATGGTATAAAACCTGCCTGGTGCCAAAAAGTGTTTCATTATAGACTTTGACTCAGAATTTTTCCTGATTTTTTTTTTCTAATGATATTTGAGACTCTGTTTTTTGTTTTATTATAGATATTATATTTTGATATATTATTATATATGATTCATTTTCCAGTGACTGCTTATTTTGGGGAGCGAAACAAGACAGCAACTTCTACTCACTGATTATGAGAACAGTCAATACCTTCATGACCAGTGAGCAGAAGATGGTGCCATCAACCAGTCAGCACGAGGTGTCAAAGTATGAGATGTGAAAGATATACATGCAAATCTTCCGTGTATGTGTGTCAAACACACTCTAAGGCACTCTAACTATGTCAAAGATTCATGTTTACAGATTTCTCCTGCAGATACCACACCATCCTGTTACAGTGTGGGAGAGACAGCAGTAATTATCTGCGGGTGCTGTAGCCTCAGACAGGGTGTGGACAACAACTTACCCCTTCTTCACTCATTCTGAACTTATTTATTGAGCCTAAAACACATTAATAAACCTAAAGTTCTCACTCTGTAAAAACATTTTCTTAATGCAGCCAAATAGACTATATTATATGCTTGGTTGGCATACTTTTTAATCTGACATGATCAAGTACATGTATTTCAGAGATTTCAGAGGTTAACTATTACTGTTCATCTAAGAGCAACACCTTCATTCACCAAAACCATAAAACACACACACCAAAATCACAAACACACTTTGAAAGTTTTACATAATGTGTTTCTCTCACCAGTAGGGCGTGCCCACAAAAGAGTTGGCAGGGGCAACGATAGAGGCAGAGCCAAAATCTCCCAGTTTCACCTGGCCAGGCTCAGTCAGCAAAATATTACCTGCCTTCACATCCCTGAGAGAGAGAGAGAGAGAGAGAGAGAGAGAGAGAGAGAGAGAGAGAGAGAAAGAAAGAGAGAGAAAGAAAGAAAGAAAGAAAGAGAGAGAGAGAGAGAGAGAGAGAGAGAGAGAGAGAGAGAGAAAGAGAGAGAGAAAGAGAGAGTGTGTGGGGGGGGGGTCACGAGAAAAAGTGATTTAGTTTGAAAATGTCATTTTTATTTGCTAAAAGTAAACGTGAAACAATAGGGATGTCCCAATCCAGTTTTTCTTTATTTGCCCCTAATACCGACCCTTGTACCAATCTTTCTATTTTATCTATCTTTCTAAATACTTGTGAAAAACAGTTACTGGTTTTCTTTGTAAACCACGGTAAAATCACAGATGGTTAGTTGAATTACCAATTCAGTTTTAATTATTATTAAAACTGTGGTCGATTACCGCGCTTTGAAAAACTTTAACCTTAAATACTGTCCAACATCAACCAAAGTTAGCAACAGTCACACAGACGCAGCCACACGGGCGTAGTACGCAACGTGAGCTTTGTTTTATGTCAGTGTAATCATGGCAGAAGCCAGTGACTGTGCTCCCGACATTTTTCAGCCTTCTAAGAGGACTGAATCTGAAGTGTGGTCGTGTGGAAAATTGACTGAAGATGGTCACCCTGTCTGCAGTACATGCAGATAGAAAATTGCTGTGAAAGGGGGCAACACTTATGATTCACCTTCGTGATACTACTCACTACTGATGAACACATCAGAACAGAATTACATAAATAACATTAATATGAAATTTCCATGCCAAACATTTAGCATAGTGCTAGGAAATACATAATCTATACCGGTATACCATGAAACTGTATCATACAAGCGCATCTTAAATGAAGAGCTGTGCGCAGTGAATGCCTTGAAGGTTTGGTAATGGTTGTGATGGTTTTGTTTTCAATTGGCCGCAACTTGTCAGTGAAAATCAAAGCAGGAGCGTATTTTGTACATAGTTCTGGTGGCTTGCCACATCGTAGCTGCTCGCTCACATTTTATGTACCAGTGTTCAGACAAAACATGGTTAGCCTGAACACAGTGGAAACTTTAGAGCTGCAGATACTACAAGCTTACATATTCCACTATAAAACTGCTCCACAATGAAGACATCGCTATTATATTCTGAAATCATGCCTCATCTAAACTATCAACCATTAAAATGGCTGGACTGGATCAAGACATTCCAATACCTATTACCACATTTAGAGACTAGAAAAGAGATCATTTCAGAATCACGCGAGATTTCCACATTTATTAGCTAATCAAGATGCTACAAAAGTTGACTGTTTTACTGGCAGAAATGTTCTCCATGTTAGATTGCTATGAAATAAGCAGCAGAGAAAAGCTCTTAGGAGCCATGAACGCTCACCTGTGGATCATGTTGTGAGAATGAAGGTAGGCCAGACCCTGCAGTGCACCATGGGTAATAGCAGCGATTTCCACTTCCTGAAGGGGCTTCTTATGCACTGCAGGTGTAAAACACAGCCAAAAGAATCAGCAACTCTCAATAACAAGCACTTCATCAGAAGTTTATTAAAAGCATGGAACTTTTGATAAAGAGTTGTATTTAACAACACTCCAGAGAAGCTGAATTATATCCAAAGACAGAAGGCAATGGCAGTGGATAAAGCAAGATGGCAGAGGGGACTGAAGGTCGTTAGAGGGATGGGGGAAGATAGAAGAAGATATAAAGACGACATTGCTACTCACCCTCTAAAAGATCAGAGGCAGAACCCAAACAATACTCCATCACCAGCTACAAGGGAGAGAGGGAGAGCAAGAGAAACAGAAATCATTGAACGCTGAAGCTAAATCACAAAACTGAATTACGCATAATGAAAAACATACATATATACTTGCAGACTTACCCAAGCTGTGTGTTCCCTCAGATAGCAGCCTTTGTACTCGATGATGTTGGGGTGCCGGAGCTTCTGAAGGAACTTGACCTCTTTAATGATGTCTTGCCATTTCTGCGTAGAGATAAAAACAGCAGAACAGAGGGTGAGTATTGGGAGTGAAGCCCAGTGAAGTGTTATTACAGGATCTTGTTGATAAAAAGCCAGGGAGGCGGCCACCATGATAAAAGCGCACAAACGTATGAGGTTATGCCCAGATGTCTCCTACAGGGATGCCCTCAAATAGGCCCCATGACGCAGCCATTACCAAACTCTGGTATATACGCTTCGTTAGGGTGCAATATGTCCCAAACCGCGTATGTGAAGGGTGCACTGAAAATGCTTTGCAGAGGCTAAAGCAAAGAGCAGAGCCATGATATAGGAAACAAACCTGTCCACAGACTGTATAGGCTCAAAGGGGAGAACCCTGTCATACATACCTCAGTCACAACTATTTTTTTTCTGTAGATGGCACACATTCATGTGGTGTGATAATAACCAGTGCTGAAATGCAAGCATCAGAAGTAAACCCAGCGGAACTGCCGCCATCATTGACACCATCTGACCCAACAGCTGGAGAAACTGGTGAAAATGCAGTCTGCGCCCAGTTGAAACTGCATGAGGCAGCTGCAAAACGCACACATTCTGCGCTCTGACAGACAAGCTTGGCTGGCGAGAGAACATATTTCCAACCCTAGTTTTTGGCTGGGAGCTCTGTTTTAAATTGACCAAGAGACCCAAGCACTGCATGTGAGACAGCACAGCCTCTGTGTTCTCCTGAGTTTTCCCCTTCGACCATGCCATTATAGCCAGGTCATCCAGACAGGTGAGCATGCGCACTCCCCACCTCCGCAGCGGGGTGAGAGCCACTTCTACACACTTTGTAAAAGTGCAAGGAGCTAGGAAAAGCCCCAACGGGACAATGAGCCACTCGTGTGCCACATCCTTGAATGCAAACCCCAGACACTGTCTGTAATCTGGATGAACTGAAACATGAAAATATGCATCTGTGAGATCTATTGACGTGAACCAATTCCCCAGGAGGACCAAGCGAAGGAAGTGATGAAGTGTTAGCATTTTGAATTTGAAAACTTAAATGCTTGTTTAAAACTTGGGACACCGTTAAACCTGCAAGCGGCAACTCCTGACAACAGTCCTTTCACCCACAGTGACAATGCACATGCGCTTTTGGAATGAAGGCAATTCTAACCTTGTTGAGTAGAACAGTTAGCAGGCTCTCAACGGGCAGTTGGTCTCTGAGTTTGGCCAAATATCGCCTGATATGTCTGTAGGAGGGTGCCTGAACTGATAGCCTTGGCCGTGCCAGCCCGTCTTACTAAGGCAATACAGCAGTTCTTAGAAGGAAGCACAGCAGGCCCTGCGACCCAATGATTGTGAGATGGAGTGAGGTAAGCTGCCAGTGACAGTGCCATGGGAGGAGGGTTTAGCAGCTCTACCTCCTCATTCCCTTCTAGATCGTGAAACTGAGCATAGCCGGGTATCGCGGTGCGGGTCAACAGCGGTTTAGCCCATGACGATATCTGCTACTCTGATGAAGCCCAGGAATAGCAGGAGGCTATGTTTCACCATTGTCGGGACAAAGGAAAAACCCAGCAAATCTTTTTGCCTTTTTAGCCAGGTGGGGGGCAGGCCACTCCACATCCAGTTTCTGCGCCACCCGGCGATATGGGAAATGGAGGAGGTATCGGTCTCGTCCTGTTTTCCCTTCACAACCGCTGAGGCAGGTATAGCCTGCAGCTACTCTTGCTCGTCCTCATAGAAGCCATGCCCGTCTTCACCAAGATTTAACGCATAGTCATCATTGAGGTCAGCTGAAGGCTCAGAGAACTGAGGCTCATTTAGAAAAGCCAACGATGAGGAATCCAATTTGCACGTCTTCCAAGTTCTCCATGTGCTCAACCCAGTCAAGGCAAGGATCCCCCTTCAGACTCAGCTGCTTCGACGTCCGAGTTGGACAGCTCAGCCTTTTCAGAAAACAGGGGATCCTCACAGCCCACAGCTGTTTGTCCAATAACTTTTTCGACGAACGTCACTCAACATTCGAGGGTTGACTGCCTGAGCTGGTGACAGAACGTACATGCATCACGTTGTGCTAAAGCTTTCCTAGCATGGGACAAGCGGCTTTCTTGCCAGGCTGAGACAGTGCTTGCGAGCTTATTTCAGATAGATGCTAACATGGCTAAACAGGCAGCACAGAGACTTTGCAAAGTGAGTTTAAGAGACTTCAAAAGAAGTAGCAAAATCCTTCAAACAGTGCTCCACAGAAAAATGGAACACCAATGTGTGGTTGTTGCCATTCTTGCCTATTGGAACACCACGTTTTAAAGTTTTGTGCTAAACGGATTGGGCTAACCTGTGCTGATTTTGTGGCAGCTTCATGCATACAGATAATAGCCAAACTTGAAGCAGCTGCTTACCTCATTGGACTGCTTGCCACTGTAGGACATCTTTTTGATGGCCACCACCTCGTTGGAGCGAACATCTCGTGCCTACAAGGAGCAGAAATTAAATGAAGCTCAGGCTACAGAAACACACCATAACTCACAAAAGACCGGCACAATATACTGTTTGTTAATCGTACTGCGACACTTTGCTTTGAGTTTACAGAAACACGTGATACGTAAATGGGCCCCAAACCACAATGTCTTAATGTGTGAGAACTCAGTCGGTCTGCATGAGTGGTTCTGTATGTTTTTTGATGAATTAAGGTAGTCACACGATCCAACAAAAGAAAATATTTTCTGGTCAAAGTAATACAGGTCAATCATTAACCATATTACTTCAAATGTTCAATTGTACAAGCTGAAGTCATATGCTTACTCTCAGACTTTCAGTACCTTTCTATACAATCAATACTCTGTCCTGGAGAAGCAAATGGTACTTTTAAAACTGATACATGCACACAAACACACACACACACTCCCCAAAAATCCACGTTTTCAGCTCTTACAAAGTAGACAGCTCCAAAGCTTCCGTGGCCAATCTCTCTGAGGTCAGCGAAGAGTTTCTCAGGGTCATCTTTGTAGAAGAGATCTGCTACCTCAGGGTCCTTCAGACTCCCTGCACGCACACTTGCAGGCATGGCCAGCTCCTGGGAGAGCAAGTGAGTGAGAGCTGTTAGCGCAACTGGTGCCTTAATTCACAAGGCTCTGAAAATTCTGGTCAATTAAAAGAAAAGCATGCAGTACTGTAATTACATTTTAGTGGAAAAATCCTACTGTGCAGTGTGACTTTAGGCTGGGAGAGACACTGAACAACTGCTGTGTTTCATTAAAAAGAGAACATAGTTAGTCTGATTTAACTGGATCTAGAGTGGTGCAGTTTGTGAAACGTTAAACAGCATTGTGCCAAGTGTGTTTTATGACAGTTTCTGGTGGCACTACTAGTGTATAGTGTCTGCATTAAAATACTGTGATACATATCATGTACTGTAAAAATGCCTTTAAGTACTGATATGATTCTTTTACCATATTTCCCAATTCTATATGAGGGCATTTTAATTGCCCCTCGAACATAAAATATTCATAAAATTCTACTTACATTATTTTTGTAGCACATTGTGCTTTGTGTATTTCATAGTGTCTATTAGGACTAAGAACTTTTGGACAGTCATCACCAGCTACAGCCTTACCCCAGGGCTATGTTTTTCTTGCTTGCTTAAGCTGTGTAAGTATGTAATGTGCTAAAGAAATATTTTAAATAGTTTGAATAGCTTTAGTTCAGTACAGAACAGTCAGCTCTTGAATCTGCACTCTTGGGAATGCTTGTACTCTTGCCTAAAGCAAGGGAATGGACCATCACATGGCTTAGACAAGAACAAGTGTCTTATTCAAACAAAGTTATGATGTGCTATTCTGGTGGCATACCTATATTACCCTCACTAGCCCACGTAAAGTTTAAATAAAACAGCCTGTGTTGTGACATAAATACAGACAAATGTGAAGTATCTAAAATACTATGACTAGGGCTGTCATGAGCTAAGTTTATGGCCTTGGGTTGCATTTAAAAATTCTATATCACAGACATTTTTTATTTTGGAAATAAGAGTTTACTCAAAGCTTTAAGTATTAAGGAGCAAAAATTTCCTATTTTGAATCAAAAACCAACACATTTGCATAAATCCTCCTATTCAGCAGACAGCAGTGTAGGCCTGGCAATTCATATTGAAGTTATAAGGAGTGTTTTAGTATGGAATGCTTTCTGAATCAGTCACAATGCAGGTTAGTCGACTGGAACAGAGGTCACACATATACAGAAAAAGATACATTACATATACAATGAGGCTGGAAAATGGTTATGTAAAAATGAATTGCAACTGTTTTTGGTACATAAAATTAAACAAAAGTTGTAAGTGGGGAAAAGTACAAAAATAATTTACAACGTTGGCCTTTTCATTACATGTATGTGTTAACAGACCATTTTGTTTAAAAAAATATTCTGAAGCATACATTAAAAATCCTATATTGTTTCATTTCATACACCAAAGGCAACAAGAGCTGGACAAATGATCTGCTCACATGCATGTTGTGGTATTTCTTGTGCGACATGCAGGCTGCAAAACCATGCTAGACCAAAAACACATGTGTGTCCATAAGCAAACACATAATTTAGTAAATACAAAATGGCAACAGATAAAACCCTTGAAGAACATCTAAACACATGATGTCAAGAACTTCACTAACTTTTTTCAGTTCAGTGCAGGCTCACTGTCGCCACAATATTCACAGTTGTCTTAACATGGACAAAAGTAAGCCAATAATGCAGGGTTTGTGAACTGGCAGTCTAGCACACTTCATTCACTGAGCATCAAGTCCAAAAAACAGAGGTGATGGTCTTTGTGGCAAGAAGGCCCAGAGCTTAATTTAAAGAGAAATCATAATATTTAAATCACAATCACAATATTACCCAGTAAAAAAATAAATAAATAAATAAAAAGTCACAAATATATACTTTGCCCAAATCATTCAGCTCTAGTACCCATCGATGTGCAGAAAGCCAATCAAAGTGTGACTGGAAAAAATTCCAAATAGTTGCAGCTATTTAAATGTACAATACATGTCAGACAGTCCAGGCACATCTATGGTTTGGAGTCTGAGGCAGAGGCCACTCAGCGGTTTATTTTTATAAGGCAGCGCATGTTTGTTCTGAGACTTCTGGACATCCTCTCACAGGCATATTATTCGTCACACTACAAAGCAGTCTACAGAGTGCAGGCTCATAGAGGCCTATAAGTGTCTGTGCACTCTTTATTATACCCACACAATATACAATAGTAACTATATACTAACAGTGCAAAACTGTATATTTATCCAAACTATACACTTATCTGCCTAAAATTCTTTTACCTAGCATTTTTTAATTCGGTATAATGATGATGCCAATAAACTTCATCCATCTCATCACTTTGTTTCATTAAAATCCCATAATTCAGCCTTAGAACTGTTAGGGTCCCTGACTGAAACACATTAAAAGCCACTGGCTTCTGACAGGAAGAAAAACAGAAGCCAAAAGATTTTTATTTATTAAGATGCCAAAAAGACAACATGCACATGCTCCACCCTGACCCAACATGACGCTTCTCCAGGAAGGGTACTGCATATTCATTTGGAAAAAAGTCAAAGAAAAGACAACTGGCCCTTTTAACAACCTGCAGTCCCAACCTCAAGCTGGTAGCAAACTCCACAAGAGGTATAAAAAAATAAGCCCCATCTCTATTACGGCTTAACTGATCCCTATATGTGAATTCCAGCACCACTGGACTAGATGGTTTGATTACAAAACATGCCATTTGTAGAGAGTTATTTTCAAGTCACACAAATACTGATGGCATCAAATACATCCTGATGTGAAACCTGAGGAGGTTTATAATAATAGTATGCAGAATAACCACTAAGGCAGCAAGGCTGGTTTGAACAGCACTGAAACTGTCAGTTTTCTCTCAGGGTGTAACAACACATGTTTTGAGTTCTGATACGGTTTTTAATTCTGAGGTCAAGACTGTATTAGATTCAATAGATATTTTGAGTTACAATTTTTACTTTGGTTCTACTTGGCTCCGATTACGAAGTTCTTAAAAAGAACTTTCTTCAAAAGCCCAAAAAAATCACGACAAAGGCTGGATATTGTTAAAAAAAATTTACACTGATAATACAGATGTAAATGTTAAACTGAAAAACAAAAAAAAACAAACAAAAAAAAACAATCAACCAACCAACAAACAGTTGTTTGACCAACGCTATCAAAAAAAAAAAAAGTTAATTTAATTTCCAATACACAACAGTTTCTCTTTCAATAGGCGGGTTCATCTTTCAAGTTGAGGAACATTTTTGAATTGTACTCATGAAGGCATAGATGGCCTACTAAAAAACAAAGCATGCCACTAAAAACAGTGGTGTTCAGAAGTTACTTTATGAGAAAAGAATACCTCAATGTATCATATTAAAGGAAAATATCCGCAGGCGATAAGAAAGGCTATTTCGTCGCTGGCGTCCCAAGAGAAATTGTGATGTGCAGCATGAAGACATGAGCAAAGCTAGCACCGATCATGGCATTTATGTTTGTTTTAACTTGCACTAGTAACAGATGGTACACACAACTTTAGAGCTTTAGATTGTAGACCTTTCAGTAAACCATCAATGAATATTACACTCTTTTCATCAACTTTTTAATTTTTGGTCAAATATTAAACAAAACCGAGCTCTTATGTACTGCTGGCTAATTAGGTATTGAAATTTGGTTTTGAAGTCATTTGGGCAGTACCACAGAAAGTATGGAATTTCAATACCCAGACTTAACAGCAACTCTAGAAAAACAGCCCAGTCATTGGAGCGTTGTGGTGCCTAGCATGTGCCCCTCCCCATCCAACTGTACTCAGATAAGAAGCATCCAGAAGCCTAGTTTTAATAACTGACAGTGGTTTCCATGAAAGAAAGTAAATGAGAACCACTAAGAAGACCAATGCATCAGTGAAATAGATTTAAAATTTAATACACTGTTTCAAACATTAATTTTTCCAGATTTGTTTTTACTGTACTGAAATTTTACTGTGATCCAAACACTTGGTACATATTTGTAGGAATCAACTTATTGGTTAATTATGAAACAATCAGAACAGGCCAAACACTAAACTGTGCAATGCTGTGCCCTTCCAAATCTGGCCAGGAATGGCATGTTTCCAGGCTCTTTCACATCCTTGTCCACATTTAGCAAGTCTTTTTGAAGACCTCAAATATTTCCTAGGTAATTATGGGCTAAAAAACACTGTCACGAACATAACCCTCCAAACTATAACTCCTGCTGTCTGCATGTATATGACATTAGTGCCAAGCACCGCATTTGAAAGTGGCTACTTTCCTGGCAAACGAAGAACAAGAGCAGGTAGAAATAAGTCACAAACACAATCCACAGGACCTTCTGGTTAGCTTCATGTAATCTGTGCACTGACATGTAAGCAATGTTTTGTCTGAGAAAAACAGCAAGCAAGGAGGGTGGGGGTTTAAAAAAAAGAAAAGAAAAAAGAAAAACAGTAAACTGTTAAAAAAAAAAAATCACCATGGCAATATCATATTAGCATTGGCCTATTTAGAGCCAATATGAAGACACATTAACTAGCCCATGTTCCGGGTGAGAGGATAAACTTGTGTTTGTGCACAGAATGCGCTTGAGGCGATTTGCAGAGAGGCTAGAACATGTTCTCTCACAGTGGATCCTACTCTGCCTGTTTGATCGCTTATCATATTTTGGCTCAACACTATGAAATCTAAAGCAACAATATCTGTAGTGACCGTTTCCATTCAATCAGATCGTAGTAATAAGTAACAATATGGGAATTCCTGAAATAGTAAAAAAAAGAAATCTAAAAATCAAATAAACACTGTTTACATTGTTTAATGTGTAAAATGTGACATACATATTTAGAAGCTATATGTATGAATAATCATTTGCATGCAGATACTTATCAATCACTATCTGCATGGAAAACGGCCACTGAAATTCAGTGCTGGTTCCTTATCCTATTTTTCAACTCCTCAAAAATGCCAAAAGAATTCTTTTAAAAGTGTATAAAAATACAAGGAAGTGTAGATTAATACATATTTTAGGGTGGGGGAGATACTGTTTATAGTGCTTTACTAATATATGTTATGTAGCTTATATGCACATTTGTGTACAAGAATGCAGGAATTGTATCTTGTTTCAGCAAGTTTTATCCTTTTGTGGGGAAAAAATTATGCTCGACTTGGTGGCCAAAGTTTATAAAAGCTCCACAGGGTGGGACTAGGCCAATATGACTGACGTAGCCTCCCACATCAATGTTTTGCTCAAAACTTTCAGAAACTGATGGTAGACTTGAGCTGTGGGGGTGGGTGGGGTTCGGAGGTGAAGCAGCAGTATTATATGGGCCACACTTTTCCCCCTAAACAACCCAGAAATTAAACCAGTCACAGTTAACAGGAAGCTCTGTGATATAGCCTTTTATTCACTTCTTACAGGACTGGAAGCAGTTCTGCTGTTGAAGCACAGAACAAACAAAAATATATCCAGGTCACAAACATCTCAGAAAGTTTACAGTATGTCCATACAAGATGGATTAAATCTATATATGTGTACTAAAACAGGGGTGGCCAAACTTTTGTACTAGGTTTTAAGTTACTCTCAGTTACTTTACTTTCAGCAATACTTGTTATTTTGTTACTAAAACACTTTCAACACACACTTAAAATGAAAATTAAATATTTAAAGTTACATAAATTACAAAATTATGTTCTCTCATTGGATGAGGTGGTGGGAGTAGGGTAACTTTCCGGTAGCCCAAATTAAGCATGCTCACAGGCCAACTTTGCCCCATGGGCAACACTGTATGGAAATATCACATAACAGAACACATCATTTTGCCACTGTACTGTGCATCATGAAATTAGATTACATAAAAATGATTTTACAAGCTCAGTGACTTCACAAAATCGCTGACCAGTTGGTAGAATTTATAATGTATGATCTAGAAAAACAGACACTACTTGTAGGACTCATTAATACAGTTTCTAAGAACATCTTAGCTGTAAAGATATATATATATATATATATATATATATATATATATATATATATATATATATATAAACACACACACACACACACAAGGTACTGTTGTGGGCCTTGGTGACATTGTACTAGGCTGCATTTCAGCACCTTCGCATTATGTGATTAAAGTCATGTGGCAGTTACAATACATGCATTAGCTCAATATTCTACATATTCTGGATCAGATGTCGGCCTAGTCACCAGCCATCACGAGTTTCACACTGACGTGTGTATCGAATGCAGTTTTGCTGTGGATTTGGGGGCAGAGTGAGGGCTGACAGCTTTCACACACACCCAACACATGTTCATCCCTTTCATGCCAGTAGGGTTGCAAGGAGGAAATGAACCTCTGAAATGACTTCTCCCTTAAAAGGGGAAAGCTGATGCTATCTGGTGGTCTACACAGTAGGGCTGGGCAGTAGGGCAGATATACAGCGATACTGATACAGAGTGATACTGCTTTTCAGTTCAAGCAATGTCTTCCGTGATGTATTTGATACATAATGAGCACTATATTCATGATATAATAGCCATAAAATAGTCTTGTCCTGGTTAAAAAAGCAAGTTTTTTTTAAATCCAAAACACAGTTTAAAAGCCATATAAATAAAACAAGTACCAAGTTTTCATTTTGCTATCTATCTGGTTAATATTTAAAATACTTTGTAAGGCTCGTTTAAGTAAAGAAAATGAGGCAAAACAAATTATGTCAGGTTTATGAGCCGTTCTTTTAGCTTAGTGGACCAGTACTCAGGAAATAAGGGCATAATAACCTCATGATTGCGAACTTAAATATCATTTTGACAGTGATTTTTAGAAAGGATCAGGATATTTGATTTTCTCAATATCACCCAGTCCTACTATGCAGCCCTGAAAGCTGAGAAAGTCCATGATTTTAACACACTGAAACACAGCTAATTATGTTACATTTCCCCGCCTATAAGACTGCTGCTCTTTGAAAAGCTGATAAAAAAAAACATGCTGTTTCTCAATTAAATGCACTATGTACAGTAATGGAGCCAAACAGTGACACGTTGATTTCAATGATGTCTGCCAACAAGGCTGGACAACATTAAATGCTAGAGGAGTTCCAGCGCACCATCCCTTTAAGGCCTATAAATGTTTAACTGGTTTAAAGTGGAACACTAAGCAGACTGTGTGCTATCTTTACACACGACAAACGTGCTGCATTTCATGGAAATAAAAATGTGAAGATGAATCATAACGCGCTGACCTGAGAAAAATCCAGCTGGCTAACTTAACGTTACACTGAGGGAACACAAACTGAACAATAGATCAGTGTAAATCCGGACTCGAGCCCTCCGAAATCTTTTGGCCATTAAAACTTATCAATTATCAAAAAGCTGCGGGGTTGCAACGGTGATTTAAAAGCTGTATTTATGTTACTATGCACAGACTTTTTACAGCGCTTTTTCACAACCGGCGCTAACTTAGCTAAGCTACTTAACCTAGATAGGTTAACTAACGGCGGTTCTCATAGCACACTTAGCAGAACCGTGTCCAACTCTGCTGGCCTCCTCTCTTGTACAGACAGCAGCACAAGCTTGAATGGAAAGTAAAACTCGGATAGGACGGGAAAAACAGAGGGACTCACCGCAGGCTTACTGTGATCTCTTCTTGCAACGAATTAAATCTTTCTCCGGCTCTTTTCGAAATATCCGCAGCGTTTCCTGGCTGGTCCGTCGTCTGACCAAAGGAATACCTCAGTTCAAAATATGACCCATATTAGCTAGCCGGCTACACTTTCTTTCCTTTTCCGTACGAACAGCTGAATTCCTAGCCAGCTAGCTAGCTAGCTAGGGTAGCTAAATCCTTGTGCTCCGCAAAGGCGCTATATGTCCACTTTTATAACTAACGGCGGATTTCCCAGCAATGTTAGAAAGATAATGTCTAACTCTGCTGTCCTTTTCTCTTATGCAGTCACAAATGAGTCCAACTTACTGAGCGTCTCCAACAAAAACACATATGACCCATATTTAGCCAGCCACACTTTCTTTCCTGTTTCGCTCAAATTCCCTGTTCACGGCAGCGGGATTCTTAGCTAGCTAGCCAGCTAACGTTAGCTAACTCCTTGTGTCCTATGGCAGTCCAAACAAGCTGGCTAGTTAGCCAGCTAACGTTAGCCAGCTATCTTTATCCTTCCTTTCCCAACTGTCCGTTAGCTAGCTAGCACCTCTGCCTAGCTAGCTAACCTAACTGTTTCCAGTCTCAATAAAGGGAACGGCCTGTATTCTTCCTCGCCGATTCCTGTTCCTATCATATTGTACGGTCACATCCGTATTTTTAAATTTCTTTTATATTATTTTCAGTCGGGCTGACTCTCTTATCTGATTGTCTTTCTTTCTCGCCCCCTTTTTGTTCAGGAAACGCAAGATGGCTACGTGGGGCGGGAGCCAACGGAAAGAAGGGCAGGAGGAGAGACTCTTAAAAATGTATTTCCTGTGAGGTCTTTGAGGTCTTTTGTATTAGGAATAGCGCCATTTTCAGAAGGTCAAGGGATTCGGGAATAAATGAATCTCATGTGACTGAAATATGACATAGGTTCAGAGGCATTTGAATAGTTAGCTAGAGTCTTACTCTTTTGGAGACAGACAGCTCAAAAAGAAGACAAAACAAACAGTAATGCAATGGACAGTTTATTTAAAGGGCCCATGTCATGGATAAACACAATTTTCCTCACTTTTTTGGAATGAAAGGGTTATCCAAACATACCATTCACTTCCCTGTCTGTATATAGAAAGCTACAAGTCTGATTTAAATTGATCAAACTTTGATGTCACAAAATATAACACATTAACATATATACCAATCAGGCATAACATTATGACCGCTTCCTTGTTTCTACACTCATTGTCCATTTTATCAGTTCCACTTACTATATAGGTGCACTTTGTAGTTCTACAATTACAGACTGTAGTCCATCTGTTTCTCTACATACTTTGTTAGCCCCTTTTACCCTGTTCTTCAGTGGTCAGGACCCCCATGGACCCTCACAGAGCAGGTACTATTTGCGTGGTGGATCATTCTCAGCACTGCAGTAACATTGATGTGGTGGTGGTGTGTTAGTGTGTGTTGTGCTGGTCTGAGTGGATCAGACACAGCTGTGCCACAGTTGCCCTTCTCTCGGTTCAAACCAGATGGGATAGCCTTCATTGCCCTCATGCATCGATGAGCCTTGGGCGCTCAACACCATGTCATTGGTTTGTGGTTTGTCCCACCTCAGACCACTGTCAGTAGGTACTTGCCACTGTGCTCCCACCTCACAAGATGTTTTGGAGATACTCCGACCCAGTCATCTGGCCATAATGATTTGGCCCTTGTCAAAGTCGCTCAGTTCTTGACACCTGCCCATTTCTTCCACATCCACCATGTGGACTCCAAGAACAGAGTGTTCACTTACTGTCTAATAAAGCCCAGCTGTTGTTACAGGATAATCAGTGTTATTTATTTCATCTGTGAGTGGTCATAATGTTATGGCTCATCAGTGTACAATATGAATACAAATGTAGAATATAGGCCCGTTATTGGCCTAATGTTGTCACATGTATGAAGTACCCCTTTAATAGAGTAAATATCTTAAAGACTGAAAATCCAATAGGCTGCCATACTTCATGTGATAGTTTCTGCTATGAGCTGTGTTAGTCTATTTTTGGCATCACTGTTCGGAAACTGGGCCAAGTTGACTTCCGGTAGCATGTATGGTAGACAGTGCTGCACACATTTTATCAGTCCTCTTTCAGGAGTGACCTGATATCAATACGGCTGTTAAATTTTACTGTCTTTCATTGGCTTTCTTCAGATTAGTGATTATTGTTTCCTACTTCTCTACACATTTCCAGTATAGTGGATGAGCCTTGCTGTCTTGTGACCACATAAACAGACATCCACAATTCTGGAGCTGTTGTAGGCCAGCATTTCCTTATTCCTTATTTGGAAATGATCACACATACAAGCAATGGTTCTGTCCAGCCATCTTTTAATTACAAAATAGATATTATTTTCTTGTTAGTTAAAAATGTCTTTAACCAAAAATAATAAGGCAAGAAAAAAGAATTGAGAGTCTCAGTCTTTTGATATTGTATAATTTCACTGCTGCTACTTCCCAACAAGGAAGTTCTTGCTGTTTTGTAAGACAGTCTGAATTTGAGGATCTTTTTAAACTTTTGTTTATAAAATTAAAGACATTTTAAAAACTTAATCTAATGCAATGTTAACAACATAACAGTTATAACAGTTCCATGTAACTGTGCAGTTCCACCACTTATTCAAAACTCAAGCTTTTAAATTTTCAATCACCTTTCTTCAAACTGGTTACAATATTTTTTTTTTTCAACTGGATAACAGTTATTAAAGATTAAATTGAAACACTTCATTGGAAATTAACCCAAGTAAAAATACAAGTATGATTTAGTTCTACTCAAAAAATGGTCCCACTTTATATTAAGTGTCTCTAGTAACTGTGTAGTTACACATGTATTACTTATGCAACAACACTGTAACTATTGATGATTTAGTCAATGTTACAGATGGATTACAGAAGTACAGCCTATGTAATTACATATGTGTATCAACTTCGGTTTTGCCTCATGTAATTACAAAAGTGTATCTTCTACATAGGAACTTTTCCTAAAGTTACACTTTAAAATAAGCGGACAGTTTCTGTGTAGTTGTTATACAGGTACTGTGTAATAATGGAGTGGTAATATAGAAATTACTTTGGGAGAAATGCAACACATTTACTTAATGTCATAAAAGTTACATTTTAAGATAAGGGGACATCTGCTGTACTGTCACATTACAGGATGGTTTAAAGTTTAAACTGGTTACAGTGTCACAGCATTAGCAAGATAAATGCTAGCTAAGTATAAGGAAAGCTGGCAGATACAGTGTAAGTAATTTCTTAATGTATGTTATTACATACTTCCATTTACTGCTGAAAAAAAAAAACTTCTAAAAACTGCTGTTCCAGTCTGATTACATATGTAATTACTTTTATGTTATTACTCTTGTGTAATTACACATGAGAGAATAGGCTGTTACAGCTATTAAGATACACTTGTGTAATTACATGAGGCAAAACATACATACACATGTGTAATTATATAAGGTGTACTTCAGTAATCCATCTGTAACAGTGACTACATCATTAGTAATTACATTGTTGTTGCATTTGTTGTTCACATGTAACTACAGTTATTAGAGACACTTAATATAAAGTGGGACCAAAAAAATATATTATTTGTTTCAAAAGTGATTCTGTGACTTATTTGGGAGACCTTTTTCCTATAGCCATTCTTTATTTATTGAACTGGATTCTGTTTTATATTTATTCCATGTTGACCCTAAAATTTTATTATCAGAAATGTAAAAATAAGCATGGAGTAAAATCTTAAAGGTAACTTCCACTGATGTTTCAAAATCTCTGCATAATTAAATAATGAAGATGTAAACAAAGTCATTCAGAGTGATGGGATGTGAAATGCTCCATTCTAGAGAAACACACAGAGTCAGAATTCTTCATTGTGTTGGTGATAGGAACTAGATGTCTGAAGCACTAAATGCCTCTAAAAGCAATATCACAGAAAGCTGTTACATAAAATGGTTATGGATACGCTGTCTGATGTCTGAGACATTGTTTTACGATAGTTCTAAGAGAGGGTTTTGGCTTAAAATATAGTTTAAAAATACTTTCATTGTGGAGAGATACATGCAGGGCATTGTAAGGCAAAATAGTCCCCCCAAAAATCTTTCTTTTAGATCTACCACTATTACATTACATATGAAGACAAATATAGGTTCAGTGGTCAATAACATGACTATTTTTGTGTTATAGACATTGTGACCCCTGGTTCCTATCACTACCACTGTAAAAACATCAGAGTCAGCAAGTTTCACTCCCCATAAAAAAAGAGTCTTATGCACTACAGTACAAAGAGAAGTGAGCTCATGGCTAAACCCTCACTGACACAACAAGCTGAGTGGTTCAGAACATTCAAATTAATATATGTTAGGACAAGAGCCCAAAATAATCCAAGCAAGTGTTGTGACAATTAAAATGACGAATAAATATTCAAAATTCTGTCTTATTTCTAAATCACTGTTCAAACTGAAACAAATATGTGAAATTGGCTATGTTGAGGACTTTGTACAAAAAGGCTGTTAGATTTTTGAGTCCATGCCAGCTAAAGCACGAAGGGGACATACCACATACTAAGAAATTCTGAAATTCATGTAAACATTAAAATATACTACTTTTCAGTTAGTGACATGCATGCGACCAGCTGCAAAATGCACACACAGGTCCAGCACAGCACTGATGCTAAGGTTATCTCTCATGAACCTGTCCACTGAGGAGACTGTTCAGTCTGACCAGTAACTGAGATTAATAACTGATCGTCACATTGATTTATCAGTCTACTCAGGCTTTAGCCGAATTCAGTAACACTGAGAGTAATAAGTGACTCATCACATGGATTTATTAGTCTACGCAGGCTTTTGAGGGAATTTTAGTTCTTTTAAATTCTTCTATGAAGTACATTTTTACATGCTCTGTGCTGGTTTTTAAATAGTTAATAAACAAGCACAGCCTGTGTTTCTTTTGGAGACTGTATTTTTTTTTATTTAGTGGGTAAATAAAGGTCTTCTCCTAAAATTGATAAAGGCAACTGTATTTTGAATACAAAATGTAACTTGGACTGAATACAGATACTTTAAATAATTTAAATAATTTAAATGTATTTTTTTTGGCGGTTCCTTTAAAAAACAAGTGTTCATGAAAATCTGATTTAGGGTTTTAAAACATGCTCTCTTAAAAAATGAGGAAACATCTTATCAGAAATCTTCTAACTTGTATGAAATGAAGGGAATTCATGCTCCCATTTTCAGATGCTAGGTTTGTCACGTGCAGCATTGCTGATTCTTCCTATAGTCAGAACCTGTCACTCCTGTTTTAAGTAGTCAATGCCCGAATACTGTCCTAAACTCTACAAATACTGAAACAAAAAGCTAAGGTAGGAGTGTCTAATCTTATCCAGGCTGGTGTGGCTACATGTTGTAATTTCAAACACGCAGGTATATTATCAGGTGTGCTCTTAAGGCAAGTTGTGTAAGCCTAAAAAACAAGCTCATTTCCACTACACTGCTGTGCTGTGAACTCCAAGGTGATCTCACAGACTAGTTAAACTAGCTTTAAACATTTTGGACAAATTGTTCACCCATGAGAGACACCATAAAGCAGGTCTGTGGTTTATAGTTTCATTATTTATTTTACACACAGTGATCGGACTCTGTGCTAATTTTATGCCACTATCATAAAGTCAAAGTTCATTGGTGGCCAGGCTGCATTAGTGTGGATGCCACCCTCCTTGTTGTGTTGCGATGCTTATCTATTACTGACTAACTTTTCACTGCCAGATTTCTGATTGGTCAAGAGACTAAGAGTCTTACATAGCTGCCAAAATTACAGAGGCAGTGATGAGCCTCTGATGGAGCTGCAAAGGAAGATGCAAAGGAAATGTTTTGTATTGAACGTGGATAAGAGCATGATATGGTCAAGAAACACTGCCTAATACGCAATTGTTAATGATAATGAATAAAAATCATGGGTCCATTGAAAAAAGCATGAAAAAGCATGTTTTCCAGTGCATTACATCACCCTAACTTTTAAGTCAAGTCAAGTCAAGTCAAGAGAAGAGGGGGGAGGGGGATAGGGGGACAGATAGTTAGTTCAGCACCAACATTCCCAGATTCCCATAGGACTTTCTGTCCCAGATCTGCGCCTTTTTCTAACAGGAAAACTAATTAACCAACGGCTCGACTAAACAGGTAAGTTTTCAGCCTAGACTTAAAGATGGAGGCTGTGTCTGAGTCCCGAACACTGACTGGTAGGTTATTCCAAAGCTGGGGGGCTTTGTATGAAAAGGCTCTTCCCCCTGATGTAACTTCATTCATTCTAGGTACTAATAATGAGCCTGCACCTTGTGATCTAAGTGGGCGTGTCGGTTGATAATAGGAAATAAGGTCATTGAGGTACTGAGGAGCAACGCCATTCAAAGCTTTATATGTCAGTAGAAGAATTTTGTACTCAATGCGGAATTTAACTGGCAACCAATGTAAGGTACACAAAATTGTGCTAATGTGGTCAAATTTCCTGGTTTTGCTGAGAACTCTGGCTGCAGCGTTCTGGACTTACTGAAGCTTGTTAAGGCTTTGGCTGGAACAACCAGAAAGCAGAACGTTACAGTAATCTAAACTGGACATAATAAAGGCATGAACTAACGTTTCTGCATCCTGTAGCGACAGTGCATTTCTTAATTTAGCAATGTTACGAAGGTGGAGGAAAGCTATTCTGGTAATATTGGTAATATGATCATCGAAGGCCAGACTGGGATCGATCATGACACCAAGGCTTTTTACAGATGTGCATGGTGCAATTGAGAAACTATCGAGATAAAGAGTTAATGTAGACAGATTATTCCTAGCAGCTTTTGGATCAAGAAGAAGAACGTCTGTTTTGTCCTAGTTTAGTAAGAGGAAGTTACTTGACATCTAGTCTTTAACGTCTTTTACACAGTCCTCTATCTTATTAAGTTAAATTTTGTCCTCTGGTTTAGATGAAATATACAATTGTGTATCATCGGTGTAGCAGTGGAAACTGATGCCATGTTTTCTGATGATGGTACCTAGTGGTAGCATATATAAGGTAAATAATATGGGCCCTAAGAGAGAACCCTGTGGAACACCATACTATACTCTGGTGAGAGCTGATGGTTCACCATTTACATTAACAAACTCATAGCGATCACTAAGGTTTGAACCACGAAAGAGCTTTACCTGTCACTCCTACTAGTTTTTCAAGCCTGTCTAATAGAATGGAATGGTCTATTGTGTCAAAAGCTGCACTAAGGTCAAGTAAAACCAGTAAGGATATGTTTCATTTGTCAGCAGATAATAAAAGATCATTTACAATTTTCACTAATGCTGTTTCAGTACTATGGTGAGGCCTGAAGCCAGACTGAAATTTTTCATATCTATCACTTCTACGCAGACGGGAACATAATTGTTTTGCCTAAAACAAAACAGCTTTCTCTAAAATTTTTGATAAAAAGTGAAGGTATGAAATAGGTCTATAGTTTGATAACTCAGAGGGATCAAGACTAGGTTTCTTAATTAGGGGTTTAATTACACATAATTTAAGAGACTTTGGAACATAGCCAAGGCTGAGAGAAGAGTTTATTATAGATAGAAAGCTTGGTTATTTCTGGCAAAACGTCTTTAAGTAAACCTGTAGCAATTGGATCTAGTATACAAGTTGTTTTTGAAGATTTTTAACAATACTTAAAATTTGTTTAGGGAAGGTACCAATTGATCCAGTTTTGAAAGTATATATTTTTTTGCCATTCTTCCATTATATAAGTCATCAGCTGCACAACTATTACTGTTTTGTTGTTGTATTTTGCGAGTCTAGCTCCTGCATTCATGATTTACGCAGTCCTGCTGTTGTAGCATGTGTAGAGTATGGCTTGGGGTTGTCATGTGGGAATAAGCATAAATGTCCCTGAAAAAGACATTTTCTATAAAAGGCAACATATTTTGCTCCAAAATGTGCTCAGCATTAATGGTGACTTCACAGAAGTGCAAGTTACCAGCTCATATGCCCCTCTCCACACCAAGACATACCCTGACTTTTGAACACTGGATGGTTCTTTTCATCTTTGTTCCAGAGAATATGACAGTGGTTATTTCCATTAACAATCTGTGGTGTGACCTATCATACCACAATAAACATTTCCTTTGAGCATCGGTCCATTTCAGATGAGCTTGATTCCAGAGAAATCGGCGGCGTTTCTGGATGTTATTCACATAGGGCATCCACTGTGCATAGTACAGTCTTAACCTGCATTTGTGGATGCAGTAGTGAATAGTTTTTACAGACAGTGGTTTGCGAAATAATCCCAGCCCATGCGGTGATATCCATCACAGAAGCATGCCAGCTTTTAATATAGTGCCATCTGAAGGAATGAAGGTCATGGGCATTCAGTTGTGGTTTATGGCCTTGAATCTTTTGAAGATATTATAAACTGTAGAGGGTGAAATACTTAAAATCCTATTTTTAAACTGCTGAATTTTTTGCTGATGCTTTTTTGGCCAAGTGGTGAGTCTCGACCAATCCTTGCTCTTAAAGAATTGGCTTTCCTGGATGCTCCTTTCATACCCAAACATGATTGCCTCACCTGTTTAAGATGTTTTTTGAACATTTCACAATATTCCTAGTCTTAAATTGCCCCTGTCCTAACATTTTGGAACATGTTGCAGGCATCATACTTTTCTTGTTTAAGTACAGGTCAAAGTGGATTTACTAATAACTGCTTTCTGTTTTTATTTGCCTCTCACTTCGTGTCACAGCTTCTTTGGAACTGAAGTTTGTAGACAGATAGATATTGTACATTTCTGGAAGTGAACATTTAAGGAAGTTCAAACAAACAGGTCTTACTAACTTTTGATATGGCACAGTTTATAATTTATATCTTCTATAATTTATAGTAGAGGATGTGTTAACTTATTGATTATCGATGTTGCTAGTAATGAATAAAAAACAATAGGGGCCAATTAACATGAAGGTCAGCTTAAGCTACCTGGTCATTACTAGCTTTTTTAGATTTCTAGACAGACAGACAGACAGAAAGGCAGACAGACAGACAGACAGATAAGTTTATAGTCAATTTCTGGAAATTTTACCTTAAATGCTAATATTGTTAATAGTTAATAAAAAGAAAAGGGTCAAATTAACATGAACAGCTCAAGTCAGCTGGTCCTTAAAATAAAAATCCTTAAATAAAAACTTGCACTGCCAATGCTGACTGCGCTATTTATAAAACTATAGTTTACTATAGTTGTCTGTAGTTTCATTATAGTTTTACTTTGTTGCCTTAATGGACAGGAGCAGTTGCAATAAAAAAAAAAACACAATATGATACCATATTTGAACTTTATGAGAAGGTCCAAAAGCAAATAACTATGTAAGGAGGAGTATTCAGTTCAGTCATTGTTTTTTTTTTTTCCTTTGCAGCTTTACTGAAACCAGACCCCTCATGAGCAAACAGAAAACTCCCTGGGATGACAGAAACACTGAGACTTAAAAAGATATAGTGATGTTATAGTCAGAGACATTGTTTTCTTACTGAGTGAGATTAATCTGGATCATACAAAAGAAAGATAGTCTCGTGTCATGTTAAAAGTCTGTTACATCTCCAACATATTATCAGGGTCTTATCATATGATAGTTGAAAAAAAAGGTTGAAAACACAAGCTGTTCTTTACATTGTGTGAAAACCTTATGATGAATGCAGTAACAGCAAGAGTTCTTGTAAATTCTATAAACTTAGCATTTCAGAGTTACAAGGTTTTTTATGGCAGTGATATAGGGCAATAAAGATAGGACATGGCAGGAAGATGTTGAGTTACGGAAAATCGAGACTTGTACACTATTAGAAATAAAGGTACTGTGCAGGTACATTTTTCATTCATCAAAGTACAAACAATACAAATGTACCTGGTCCAATTGTGTAGCTTAAATAAGTTTTTCTATGATAAAATAGTACCTATTTGTACTTTTCATAAGCTAATGTTTTAAAACAGATCAAGAAAATAAAAAAACTTTGAGACGAGACGGGGTGTGTGGAGTCAATACAGTTTAGAACATATAATTTTAATGGATTATGGTACAGCCATGTTCCCTGAACAAAAGTGCTGAGATGTACCCTTGAGGGTCCCACCGCAGTGACAGTTTACAACTTTTATTTCTGAGTGTTTGAAAAACTGGTTAAATTATAAGAACACAATGTATAATCGAAACAGTTCATTTAACATAAAAAGTGAAACCTAGAGAATGTATGTCTCTTGCATACTGATGTCATGGAAGATTTGAAAGACGTTTGGTCTGGCTGCTGTGCTTTCATGCTGATCTGTGATCAGTTTCACCTGATTAGATGTAGGGTAAGGGGAACTGGCTCTAGATCCATGTGAACAGGCAATCTCGCTTTTGTGTGGGCGGGTAAGCAGGTGAGGCAGGTAAGGGAGGTTACAAGTTGCATGTCACAGTAAAAGAACAAGGAGGGAAAAATGGTAGGGGAGATAGGATGTCGAAATAGCAATCATGAACGTCACTAGCTGCTGCCTTACCTGACAACTACACACAGTTTGGAGGAAGACCATCTGAAGCCACAGAAGAAACAGGAGCATGGAGCTTCACTGGTGGAAAGCTGTGTTTGTTACAGGGGCTGTTCTCCTGAATGCCACAGGTAGGTCCAATGAAAGAGTGGCTATTGAAACAAGACAGAAAAAATATAGAAAGTCTCTGATCTGATGAATTTTAATGTTATATTCAATGTTTGTTTGAAGTCAAACATTTTAGAATCACTCGGAAGAAAGTTCAGGCACTTTCTAAGTTTGTACTTAATGTTTTATAGCCTAGCACCTGTAATACATCTTGTTAATCTGTATTTTGTCTGAAACTATGTTGAGTTACCACTTGCATGGTGAATTGCCTCTGACGACAGTGTACTTTAGTCCTGTACCGTAACGCTGACCTATCTGTTTCAATGCCATCGCTATGCTGTGGTTACACTGTTTTGTATAAGAATATTTACAAATGAAAATGTCAAAAAAACACACAAAATTATTGCTTATTTTATTATTACTGCTTATTTTAATTTGAATTGTTTGAATTTGAACTAAACATTTATGTAGTTTATTATATAATAATAATAATAATAATAATAAAAAAAAAAGAAGAAGAAGAATAATAAGAATAATAATGGATTTTATTTACATGGCACACTTCCATGACAATCTCATCTGAAGCCAATTCACAGAAGACAAAATAAATAATAAATAAAATACAACAAAATAAAAATGTATAATCAAATAAAACAGAAAATACAAATAAAATACAACAATAAGAACAGGAACAAAGTAGATAAGTTAAGTAGTAAAGCATGTCTGCAAAGATACATCCTTCTTAAAAATAGGGTAAAGATTCAGACTTTCTAAGAGACTCATGCCATAATCGTGGATAAAAAGTAGAAACACATCAAAATTAAACAAATCGGAAATTAATTTTTTAGCTCTTCGCAAAGTCAAAGATATGATTAATTCTTGTGAAGCAGTATTATTTGAGAATTAAGAAGATCCCTTTAAAAATTGTTTCTGATTTATTGACTTTTCTATATTATTATGTCTTGTATTATTTACGTTGTCCTTCCTTTCTGTCAGTTAAAGGGATGATATTAATCTTGTCTCTCGATAACAAGCCAACTTAAACAAGTCCTGTTAACCAATTACCCAAACCATATAACTAAATTAAAAACAAACCAGCACCATTAATGACTGATAATCATAATCTTTGTCCGTGAATAGTGTATATAATGTGAATAGTGTAATACTGTTTTTGAGTCTCGACTGAATCAGCAACATTCTCCTTGTTGTTGGTTCACATCTTACCCTGTTTAGACTGGGATCCAAAAGTGTTTATTCAGTAGAATCACTGTTTGCCTTGCCCAGACAGGTTCATCAAGAAGGGTCAGTTAAGACATATATGTTGGCTGCCTTCTCATGTTACATTTTATATAAGTAATCAAAAGCAAAAGTCCTTAAAAAATGCTATATAGGGTAACTGTGTACTTCTGTGTACCTCTCTCTCTCTCTCTCAGGCTCACTCTCCCAGTCTGGTAAGTTATTGACCTTCATGACGCCATTAACATTTTTTTCTGATGACTGTCTTTTATTATGTGTCATTCATTATAGAGCTTAGTGTGTTGCCAGAGTTTGATAATAAAAAAAAAACAAATTACAAGATTAGAAGAGAAACAGTGAGAGGTGTAGACTTGCCAATGAAACAAATGTTCTTATGTGATTTTAATTTTCTATCATTTTATTCTTTTTTCATTTTTTTAACCCTCTATGAAGCAGGTTGATCCGCATTATATATATGAAAGTTGCTGTATAAATAAGGCTTATTATTAGGCCTTATTAAAGTAACAAAGAGAGATTACAGCTTTTGCACCCATTAAGCAACAAAATACACTACATAGGGGAATTCTAACATTAATCTTACATTTTAATTTGAATGAAATTTAATTTCCTACATTACTGTGATCTTAAGATGCACTCACCTTAACCATTTTGTTCAAAAATTTGAGCTTGGAGTTTACTTACTAATCAATCAGTCAACGTAACAGTGGGCAAATGCCTGAAAACAGTACTTTGATTTTTGAAGTTTATCAAAACCAGGACAAAATTAGACTCTTCAGACAATTATAATGTAATTGAAGTGTACAGATGTAAGTCTGTCACAGCATGTCAATAAACTGTAACTGTGGAGGTATTTCAATCAAGAATAACAGCCTCAAGAGAGACAGTTTAAAAAGTGATTACTATCCTATTCCATGTTACATTAGCAGTAACCAAACTTAATGTGTAAAAAAGGTAAGAGATTAATAAACAGACAGACAATCTTGTGAAAAAGGGAAAATAAATGAATCCACAACATTACAAAAGTAGAAGAAATCAGACAGCCCTAGCACAGTATGCTAAATGTTTTCAATGGTCTCAAGATAGGAAAACACATGACACATGCTATGTTTAAAAAATACCCAATCTGGCGTAATGTAGCAGGAGAAATGAATTTGGCCTGAAGACAGAATGTTTTTTTTCCAGGATCAGCACACATTTTCTGTCCAAAGTGATAGTGAGTCTGTTCTTAAAAAATGGTAGGCCTACAGCTTCCCACGGGTTCAAAACCTTATGTAACCTTATGTAACAGCAGTAGAACACTGAAGGTCTGAAGCTGCCCTGAAAATAAAAAGCTGCCCCACTCCACTCCAGAGTATAAATGTTTCCATTATTGTGTCCACTCCATACACTTGCACATTTCTGTGAGTGTTGTTTCTCAGCTGGCAAGTGCACTTTACTGACTGCTCTCTTTTCTATCAGTGTGTGGTCAAGCTCCCTTCAACACCAAGATCGTAGGTGGGCAAACTGCTAATAGTGGCGCATGGCCTTGGCAGGTCAGCATCCAGTACAGTAGAGGCCATTTCTGTGGTGGAAGCCTGATCAATAACAACTGGATCCTGTCAGCTGCTCACTGTTTCCAAAGGTATGGAGGCATTTAACAAACTAATTTATGCCAGATGCAAATCTGCATCTGCTTGCAGAATCTTCAACATAGAGGCTCTTCAGTGGTTTTTGGCCTGGACATATGGTTTTAAGAAAAGCTTTTAAATGGAATAGAGTTTCTTTAAAGTTTAAAAAGATTCTCATTCCCAAAAATAGTTCTTTACAGACTGGTCTATGGAAAGCTCCTTGAAGAAACCAAAATAGGTTCTTCTATAACATCACTCCAAACAACACTTATTGGCAACATTATTTTTGAGAATGTAAAGCAGGAATGTCAAACTGGGTTCCTTCCAGGTCACAGCTCCAGCGAGATTAGAGTTGTCCTATTGCTAACACTCTGAGTTCAACTTATGAAGGTCTTGACAAGTAGCCGATGGATTGAATCAGGTGCGTTTGATGAGGAGGAATGCTAAACTCTGCAGAGCTGTGGCCTGGAGGGAACCCAGTTTGACACCCCTAGTGTAAAGCAAAAAATGTGGATGTTTGCATTTTGAGTAAACACTGCATTTTCTCTGAATAGTCTGTTGTGTTTATTGTACATAGCTTAAGACAGCTGCTTTCCAAAAGCTGGGCTGCGGTCCAAGTGGGCTGCATTTCTAGACTGCTATGTCACTGAAGGCCACTCCTATCAGAAGGCAGCTGAGAAACTAGAAATGCAGTCTATACTAGAATATCCTTCATGGTCTATTGTTGCTTATAATCCTTTGCACACGCATCCAGCTTGAACAATGTTCAAAGAAAATGGTGGCAGATCAAACCAGCTACTACATGTTGCTCAAAGAGGGCAGTAAAGTGTAGCATTACATTTCAAACACATTCATATTACATCATTCACGTCAGCGTTTTACTTGCCAGCTTATTATCATTCACATTAATTTTTCTCCATAAAATTATGTACTAACTCCTTTCTGATGATGTGACAATGTGGCCTTGGTACACTCCTAAACATGTGGTTCTTCATGGGTTCTTTAGTAAAGAATAGTTCTATAAAGAACCATGAACACTCAAAGAACCCTTTGCATGATTAAAGGGTTGTTTGCATGGTGAAATTGTTCTTCAGAACGAAAAGGGTTCTGCTGTTGTTTTGATGTCAAGCTTGTAACTACAGAAGAATCCTTTTTAATGAGATATAGAACCATTTTCAAAAAGGTTCTATATAGAACAATCTACAGCACATTTCCTGTGATGTGGCTTTTAGAGGCATTTTACGTTTCAGATGTCTGGTTCCTACTTCTACAGAACAGAACATTTCGCATCAAACCACTTTGAATAATTTTGTTTACACTTTATCTACATCTTATTGATTCATTTACGTAGAAACTTTGAAAAAATGGTGGAATTCCCTTTTAAAGTCCGAAGGTTTAGTTGGCGTTTAGGGGGGTTGGGAGGGGGGTGTATATGTCTGTTTGGCTTGCAGCCCCCAGACTTCACAGGGACTTCCACAGGCTCCTACGCTGTTGTTAAAACCAGCATGACCAAGTGATTACTGGAGGTTAGGTAGGGGTCTGATGGAGTCACATTAATTAAGAGCGACAATTGTATGCTTTTCTTGATATTGTAAATAGTGTGCTTGTGTGTTTTGCACTGCAATAAAAGAGCACCAGTGCTTATCTGGAGAGCTTGTACAGTCCATTTGTGGCACACTACCATGTCACACCCAGGACCCACCTTTCTCACTAGCTTTCGGAATGCAGCTATTGTAGTGACATATTGTACAATGGATAGCAAATTAATGTACAACTTTAAATTGGTCTTGGCTGTGCGGATGTGTGGTTCTAAAAAACCCATAAACTGGTACAGAAGCTATATTTATTTAGCCCGTTTTAATATCAGTGAGAATAAGTCTGACTTGGTCTCTCCTTTTTTAGTTCCATCACCAATTACCCAAGTGCTCTCACAATCTATCTGGGAATGGCAAGCCTTCAGGGGACCAACTCAAATAGCCAGATACGTTCTGTCACTCAAATCATCAATCACCCCAGCTATTCTGCCAGTACCCATAACAATGACATTGCGCTTCTTAAGCTTGCCTCTTCGGTCACCTACACCGACTACATCCAGCCAGTGTGCCTGGCAGCAGCTGGCAGCTCTCTGGGTGGTGGCACTCTTGTCTGGATCACAGGATGGGGAAACATTGGCACTGGTGGTAAGTGATTTGCAACCAGTGGACAACACTGTTGCTGTCAGAACAAAACCACCTTTCTTCAGAAACTTTATAGAGGAAGGACAAATGTCCTGTAACATTCATGCAATAAGATTTCAGTGCAAGTAATTTTGGACCATTTTTACTGGTCCATTCGCCAAGGGTTCTTTAGTAAAGAACATGATTCTATATAGAACCATGAACACTTAAAGAACCCTTTGATTAAAGGGTTCTTTGCATCGTAAAAGGATTCTATAAAGCACCAAAAAGGGTTCTTCTATTGTTATGGTGTCAAGTTTATAACAATAGAAGAACTCTTTGGGTGCTATACAGAACCCTTTTCAAAAAGGTTCTATATAGAACCATTTACAGCACATTCATGCACATTTTCCACTAATCTGAGGAACCTTTTCATGATGCAAAGAACACCTTAATCATGCAAAGGGTTCTTTGAGTGTTCATGCTTCTATATAGAATTGTTTTCTTTAATAAAGAACCCTAGAAGAACCATGTTTTTTAACATTGTTGATTAAATTTTAAATAGAAATGACCAGCAATAGAAATATTCAGCTAAGCTCTACACTGAGGCCAAACTAGGTTGCAAATAGTTGTCTTTCGTTCTCCACAGTGAGCCTGCCATCTCCTCAGAACCTACAGGAGGTGGAAGTGCCAGTTGTCACCAACAGTAACTGTGCAGATTCCTATGGAAGCGGTGCCATCACAAGCAATATGATATGCGCTGGCCTAACTGAAGGGGGAAAGGACTCATGCCAGGTAGGAAGTCCTAACAAAACATAGATATTTCTGAAAACATAACTTTAGAGGTGAATGAGATGAAAACTGTTTACATTATTAAAGCCCCATATGAAAAAGAAAAAAAACTAATTTTTACTTTTTGTAAATAAGAGTTTGGGGTAGCATGTTCATTTCCCATTCCATACTGTTCATATATGAAAACTAAGCTGCAAAAATACAACACAATACAGGCCAACCAACCAGAACAGAGCTTTATAAGGGGTTATAAGGAATGTTTTGGCTTGGAATTGTTTTGAATGAGGCACAGTACAGAGCAGAACAGTGGTCATTTACATACATCAGTCATAAAGCCACAGTAACGAAGACAGCCCATTTAATTCTAGTGGATTAAGAGAGGTTGGAAATTGGTCATGAAAAAAATATTATTTTTGGTGCATGCAGGGTGACTCTGGAGGTCCAATGGTCATTAAGCAGAACTCTGGCTGGACCCAGGTTGGTATTGTAAGCTTCGGTAATGACTGCGCCCTACCCAATTACCCCGGGGTGTACGCCAGGGTGTCTCAGTACCAAGACTGGATCAACAGTTATACCAGCAGCAACCAACCTGGATACGTGACAGTCACCGCCAGCAGTGCCTCCAAGCTCTTCTCTCTATCTCTGTCCCTTTCTTTCCCCTTCCTCCTCTCCCTCTACATCTTTTCCTGAAAAAGATCAAGAGACAAACACAAGACCAGCTAAATTGAAAAACATATTGTGTATGTCTTACTGAAGGACTAAATGTGCCAAAGTGTAGAATGACAGTTGCACTTCCTGTAGCTTTTTGAAGGATCTGTACTTTACATGTGTAATTATATGTGTAATTCTGTTTTTGACAACACTTCTATCCAACTTCGTGATGTACTGTATTTTCTAAGCTGTAAATAAAGTCCAAAAGGTGGAGGCATTTATGGACCCATTCTCTCCAGTCTCATTTGTGATTTTACCTGGAAGCAGTTTACTGATTGACCACAATATAGTATAGACGCTGAGGTGGTTACACAAGTAAATACTTAAAAAGAAAAATACAATTATTGTTACATTATCTAACAGTCTACAAGTTAACTTACCCAGAGTACAATTCTGCTGCAGCAAGATTATGGTAACCTAGACTAGACAGTATTCCCGAATTCTAATACTACATTTATTTATAAGAGAAAGAGTAATATCTGTCTTTCTGATGTTCTTAATGTTATTTACATGAAGGTAATAAAGCTGCCGTTGTGCATTTACTAGATAACTGAAGGCCACACTCACCCAACAAACATCAACAAACCCAAATGCTGGGTTGGTGCGCCATATCTGTGTGAAGGATTTGAGATTCTATAATATTCTCCTGCATTCACGGTTTATTTTACTTTTTTTTCTAAATGTTTTACGCCATCAGACTGTTGGTGTGCTTTGGCCTTCAAATTACAGAATACACTTTCTAAATAAGCGTGTGTATATGTGCACAGAGATATATTCTGTCCACAACAATTCAGCTTTATACTTCATTATTCCTTTTTACATTACTATTTTCCAACTTCCCTTCAGCCCTTTAGGCCAGAGCACACCAGCCCAACTACTGTTTTTTGGACAGTTTAAAAAAATATAAATACAGAATAAAAGTGTTAATGGAGAACATTCTGGAGTAAACCAACAATCACACACAGGTACTGTACACCAATCAAATGTTTGGGTTTGTTGGTGTTTGCTGGGTTGGTTAGCTTTTGACAAAACTTACCAGCACAATCAGTTATAGCACCTAAGCAACTAGATGGTAGAACAGGCAACGTGGCATTTCAATGGAAGTGCCACTTTTATAGAATTTAAAAGAAAATCCAGGAGATATAAGGGAGAATTCTAAAGTGCCACAATAGCTTAGTCTGTAAATCATGGGGTTTATTCTATAAAGCTGTATTTCATTGTTAACCAGATAGTTTAAGCCAAAACTAATGAGGTAAAGGGCATTTCTACTGGACAAATCTCACTTCTGGCTTAGGTTTTTCAGCTACCTAAAAAAAAAAAAATACTTCTGTATGAAATACCCTCTGTGTCGTAACTGAGCTATCATTTTTTCTCTCACATAACCTGTCCATGGACATGTTAGTACAGTTGGATGCAATGCTCAAATCAGCTTCCAGTTTCACTTTCTTTTGCTCCTGAACACTGCATTTAGTCAATCTTATGCCACGTAAACAAATGCTGAAATGCATAGTGATTTGGGAAAATATTTAGTTATGTGTGATTTTTTTTTTTTATTTTTATTGTAAACACTAACAATTATCTTGAGAATCAGAACATGTGTAAATAGCTACAAAACTATAACAAACTGGAAGGTAAAACATACAAAGGATAATTCTTTATTATTCTGTTAAAGTTGCATAGATGAACATACGTAAAAGAAGTACATCCAGTACCTCAACAAGTACACCTAAAAATGAACGGGACCGAAACAAAGACATAAACAGAACATCAGCCTGAAAAATCTGAACGGAATATGCTATAAACACTTTGTACACTTGGGTGAGGCCCTTGTCACCTAATCACTCCCTGCATCATCACTAATGATTCCCCGCAGGTTGCTCCAGTCTGTTGTTCTCTTGCGCCCCCTGTCTGCATGGCCATCTTCACTGTCTGAGTCAGAGTTCACTGCCCGTTTGTAGGCTGATGCTGGAGGAGAGCGGCCCTGAACAGGCCACAGTGTTGAAGCTCTGCGCTTGGGACGGCCTGAAGAACACAGACAGGACAAAAAAAAAAAGAGAAAATCCATCAATGAGATAAAGAATCTATATACAGTGGGTAACACATGAAGATTAGATTAGGGTAATTGAGTAGAAGCAGATTTGCTGCCATCAAATTCAAAATGGGCATATTTTTCAACAAACAACACAGTTCTTAGTTTCAACATCTGATATGTTGTCTTTGTACTTTTTTCAATTAAATATAGGGTTTAAATGATTTGCACATCATTGCAATCTTTTATTTTATTTTTTTTTTTAACATTTTGCACAGCGTCCCGGGGTTGTAAAATACAAAATGTGCCATAACTTTTGCACAGGCTACATTTCATGTTTCTTCCAATAATTTTTTGCAGTATATTATATTCAACAATTAAACAGTAATTGTGCATTAAGACATACAGAAGTGTGATCTCTGTACAGGATATGTACTTTTTTCATTTAGAAAAATCTACAGAAACCCATTTGACCAGGAACGTCTAAACCTTTACTTACAGCTGCATACTCAACCAAGTGTGTTTTGGAGATTTAGATTAAAGGCCAACATGAATATACAATAGAAAAAGTTCACATGTAAACATCAATGTATAAGGTATGCAAGTAGGCTTATTTAAATGTGCGCACTTCGGCACGGTTTGCTAAAGATAATATAATAGGGGAGGTACCATGAGTGGTAATGATGTTGCTAACATCCAGCTCTGCAAGTTCCTGAGCTTCCTCTCTCTTCAGTCTGGCCTTCTTACACTTCTCTATGGTGGGCTGACCTGGAAGACAAGACAAAGGTAATGACAAGTGGTACACATACACACACCAACAAAACAAGACTTTGTATGTGCTCTCTCTCTCTCTCTCTCAGCTGACCTTCCACTCCCAGCTCTTCCAGTTCTTTCTTCAGCACAGCCACCTTTGCCTTCACTGAGCGGCAGCCCTCTAGTATCTTCTTGTAGTTCCGCCTTACGCCACAGATGGAGATGTAGCGCTTCAGCCTGGACACAGCTTTATTCTCCTCGTCCTGCAGATCAAGCAGTGCACAGGTTAGCATGCTAAAGACAATCTGAGGTAGACCGCCATCTTCAAATAAAGAGAGACGGATATTCCAAAGACTGTCCCATGATAGCCCTGTGCTAATCAGGATTGCTGCATAATTTTCAAAATCAAATTCAATGCTTTGTAAGACCTCAATACAACAAAAATATCACAATTTCTACCGCATGATGCTCAAACTGATTAGCTGAAAAAACATAGGTTTTGTTTTGAGACTGCATAGACTCAGAGACTCCAAATCTAAAGAAGTAGGTAAGACGAAAGTAAAAACAAAGCAGTGATTTGAAAGTCTTTTACAGGTATTTAATTCCAACAGCACAAAGAAATAGACATTTAATATTTCAACTAATCGACTTTATTGTTTTTTTGTAAATTGATGCCAATCTTGGAATTTGATGCCTGTAACCCATTCCAAAAACATTGGGACAGGGGCAATGTAAATATGAATTTTTTTGTGGAATGATCAAAACACCTGTTTAGAAATTTTCCACAGGTAAACACCACAATAGGTAATAGGTGATGCTATAATGATTGGGTATAAAAGGAGCATTCACATACATTTTGAGTAATTTCAGTTAGTCTTAGATAGAAACAGAAAGACCATAACAGATCCATTAGTAGAATAATTGCATTTTAGCAAACTTCACCTACCTTTGAAATCTTGTCTCTCACTACAGACAATTATAAATAAACAGCATGAATGGCCAAGTTTAACTCAACATACAGCTGGATTACATTATCTTTTGCGCTGAGGGGTGTTTCCATATGAAAGTGAATGGAGGCAATATCAAGTAGATTCACTGTCAAACGTAACCCATGGCTGACTGACCAGGCATCTGATTGTCATTGCTGTTGTATCGATTTTACTTGCCCCAGGCAATCAAGCAATCACTGATACTTAGCAACTGGCAACCTTAGCAACTTTTCAACCAATCAGACTCTGTGATTAGAACTAATTGCCATACAAAATAATCCTGAGCTGCAGCCCTACTTTCCTGGGGCAAAGAAGCTGGTTTCTGACAGATGGAGAGGTGGCTGGGCTTGTCAGCTCCATTCAGCTCACCTTTCCTCCTTTAGTCTTGCTCTCACTATCTTCCTTCTTTTTCTTTGGTGCACTTTTCTTTTTTTCTTCCTGTTTAGGCTTCTTCCTGCCTTCTTCTTCACTTTCTAGCGAAGGCAAGGATGAGGAGTCAGAGTCTTCTGCTACATCCTTCATATTTTCTTCTCTCTCTGTAATGAATGGTAAGGTGACATCATGGTGATACCATAATACAATAGCTGTTATTGGCAATATGACATAATTAATGTGATAAATTATGTGATAGCTAAAAAAACTAGAGGTGGGCGATACGGCAAAAATATCACAATACTTCAAGAAATTTCACGATATGTCAAAATGATTCTAATTATAATAACTATAACTATAATTTTTTTAACTGCACTACATCCAATGTTTGAACTGCACTACATCCAATTAAGCAGGAATAATTTTGTTCTCTTTGTAATGAAACAAGCCGTTGGTCAGTGTTCTTAAAGATCTAACAATATCCACGATATGCTCAGAAAAGCATATTATGAAGTAATTTACCAAGATAATAATAAAAATCGTCATATGCTCAGCCCTAGACCAACTGCAACATGTCATGACAAAGCATCATTAGGCCTGTTTAAGTGGATTTAGTGCAGTGCAGTATGTAAAATGCTGAACTGACAATATCTTCTAAATTTGTCCTTTTTTTAAAAGTCTTATCAAATTTTAGAAGAACAAAACACTGTGATTCATATTGTGTATCATGAAAACGTCTATGTTAGGGATGCATTACAAGCCTGGTATTAGCTTACAAACATATCGGCATCGGACTGATGTTTGTATTTGAACAATATTTTTAAAATATTTATGGTTCACTGTAAAAGCAGAACCTTTACGAGGCACTGAGTTACCGTGCTAAAATGCATTTTATTCATTTTACTGCATTTAACATTTAGTAACCATCTACAAATAAGTGTAATACTTCTCTGTAACACTAATCCAAGTATATTTAGTTGTAATTCCTAAAATGTAGAGATGTTTATAAATTGCCATCGGCAGGTATATACAGGAAAAATACAGACTGTGGCAATCAGCCCACAGATACCATATTGGTCACCATCACTTAAAGTACTGTGTTCAATTTTTGCCATATAGCCCACCCCGATACCATACAACAGCTCTTAGTCTGAAAGGTACCAGGCTCACCTTTCTCTTTCAGTTTTTCTATAGAGACATTAGCAGTGTGATTCTTTTTGTTTGTTTCTTCATCATCAACCTCTCCATCATCACTCTCGCTGTCAGAGTCACTCTGTTTGTTCTTTTCAGATTGTTTCACCTCTGTCTTCTCCTCGTCGTCGTCTTCCTCACTCTCAGAAGAACTCCCAAACACTTCTTTCTGCACTCTTCTCACAGCTTCACTCTCTGGTGACCTCATCTCTTGTTTAGTCTCTTTCTGTTTGCTCTTCTGAGAGGCTGCTTTGCCTCTCTTTCTCTCAGTCTCATGCTCACTGCCATCCTTTCTCCCTCCTTTCCTTTTCATCTGTTTGGTGTTTGTTTCCTCTTCGCTGTCCGAGCTCGCACTTTGCTTTTTCTTTCGGCCTGTGGCCTTTGCTTCCTGCAGCTTTTCTTCTTCTTCATCACCTGAATCTTCAGAGCTGTCATGCTCCTCTCCCTCACTCTCCATCACCTTTCCTCTCTTCTTTGCTTTATTTCTCTTCCTCTCCCCCTCACTTTCTGAGCTTGTGCTTGCCTTCCTATTCACCCTTGCTTTTTGTGGTTCTTTTTTCTTCTTCGTCGCTTCGTCATCACTTTCCTTGTCCAAGTCTTTATCACTTCCATGTTCTTCATTGGCTGCTTTCTCTATTCCAGAATCTGGGGAATCTGACAGAGAGACAATGACGTTGTATGCTTGTCTAAAAATTCGGAACAGATATTTTTGTGCCACAGTTTGACAGTTAAAACAATGGTTGCCGTTCCTTAGTACATTATATGTCCAAAAGTTTGTAGACACCTGCTCATTCAATGTTTTTCCTGAAATCAAGGGTATTGACAAGGACAATCAGAAGTGGTGTCTGTACCTTTGGACATAGAGTGTATCTTGGTATAAAAAGAATAGTAGTCAGCATGCTATTGTCACCTGGGGGAACTGACTCAAAACGAGGTTTCTTTTTCTGGGCTACTACATCAAAATGTTTGTCTTCTGTCTCTGTTTCTTCTTCTTCATCCTCCCTCTTGCGTTTTTTCTTTTTCTGGGAAGCATTTGCCTTTCTGGCTAAAGGCTCATCATCACTGTCCTGAGGAAAAGCAAAGCAAGCTAGACAATTGTTTCACTGTAAGAGGAATTCCACACATTTTAAGAGTTTCTGCATAATTCGGTCATGGAGATGTGAATGAAGTCATTCAGAGTGGTTTCATCTAAAATGGTTCACTGTAGAGAAAGTACTCATTTTTGTTTACAGTGGTGGTGATAGGAACCAAGGGTTGTGAGGACTTCAACATAAATATAGCTGCTTTATTTACTATCCAAAACGACCAGTAAACCCACACGTGTCTGAGCTTTGTATAGTTATGTTTTGTTGACAACGGTTGAATTTGTTTTACAAGTTTTCTTTAGAGACCATTTTGCCTTACAGCACCCTGCATGTATCTCTCTGCCATACATGCTTTTTAAAATATTCACAACCTTAAAACTCAGAAAACGTATTTGTAACCATGAAGCGAACATTTTCTGTGATGTAGCTTTTAGAGGCGGTACATTCTTCAGACGTCTGGTTCCCATCGCCACCACTGTGAACAATTCTGGCACATTCCACATCAAAACTAGGATTTAATAATGCAGAACTTCTACGAATTTTCTCATTTACCAAAGTAGGGGAAACAATTAAACGACTCACTTCTCCTTGCATTTTCAGAAGCTCCTCCTCTACGACTTGCTTGAGCAGCTGTCTGTGCTCCACACTCAGGGCTTCCCTGCCCACATGCGCCAGATACCTCTTTCGCAGGATGCCGAGGGTTAAAGTGCTGTGCAGACAGAGATCACTGCATTATTTCACATATACGACAAGATGTATCGTGCATGCATTACTAAGACGGTACATATTAAGGCGCAATGACTGCTGCAGCAGTTTGAAACTGATAAGCTAACTTAGCGTTACGAAGCTAGCAAATTCAGAGTTTCCAGCGAGACTCATGAACCCTGAAAACACTAGCAAATCACACCAAGAAGCGATTACCTGAGGTCCGAACAGCCACGGAGCTCTTTGAAGACGAACTGGCGAATTTCTGCCTCTTCTGAAACCATGACCAGCGCTATAAATGGCCCTCCGCACACAAAACACTGCGCACTTCACGCGGCGACTTCCAGGTTTGGCGCGCGCCCACCCGTTGACGGGTACGTCCCGTTGCGTCATCACGTACAAGCTAACGCTACAAAAGTCCTTCTTACAGATATAAATATATTCATTTTAAAACAATACATAAAAAAATAAACAAATGAATAAGCCCCATCATCAAATATTCCACCATATACTCCTTTAATGTGTGTGTGTGTGTGTATATATATATATATAGAGAGAGAGAGAGAGAGAGAGAAATTTTATTGCAAAGGGAATGTCTAACAGTATGCATTTTTTCTTTATATTTTTTCTTATATATAGTTAAGTAACTTTGCACTGTATCTATGCATCTTATTGGGAAGCATGCAACACATACAATATAATATATATAATAATAAATAAATTAATTAAAATCTACAAATCAGAAAACTTATTAAAATGCAATAAAAACTGTTTCTTGTCCTAAATATACTAGACTGCTTAGTTAACCTTACATTTAGAACTAGCCCACACAGTAACATTAACATTTACTCTGTACTGGCTTGCTTTTAATACAGTCTTACTATATTTTTGTTTGTAAAGCTTTAGTTAATCCAGTTTCAATGAGGTTCTAGAACAGTCATTTGTAAAAAAAATGCATTTTATTAGTGAACCTGTGGATAAAACAACAATGAACAATTCTGGACGGCATAATACCAGAGAGATATCAAGGTGCCAGATACCTTGAAAGTGGTATAAAATCTCTGATAATACTGTTAACATCTCATTTTTAGCTTTAGGGATTTTTCTTACAAAAAAGTGTGAGCATTACATTGGTGTTTTCTTGGTCAGTAAAAACAATTCTCATGAGACTCTAAACAGATGACAGTGGTCAAGTGCTACATCTATTACAAACGCTATTTACAGCAGTGACAGGTTAGCAAGTGAGCATTTGGTCATTATATCAATGTTTTCATTAGGAGTCAATGTCATATTCTTAAATAAACTGACATTAGCCCTGTCATCTGCAAGCATGGCCACAAACCACTGTCACTTCATGCGTACAATGGCAGATTTACCCATCAGCCTCATGATTATCATCACATACAACAGAGCAAAGGTTTGCTTGGATACTCAAGAAACAGTTAATAGTCCTCTTATGCTCAGTTGTTGCACAAAGAAAATGGCACCCTTTTTTGTGGATACCTAAGAAACGTTTGCACTTTTGTAAATAACGATATTCAAAAGTCTTTCTTGTCCGGATTTTATAAGCCACTCACTGCAAAACCAACTATGGCCACATCAGAGTAACATTTTGTCAGTTTCATACAACTTTGGTGCAAAAAATAGCCGGGATGCCTCTCTGGATAATTATTATAATACGCCACTAAACTAAATACGTAAATACATCAGTTTAATTATTCGCATAGATTTTGGACATGCTTGGTAACTGGCTCGCTGCGTTGCTTTTTTTCGGTTGGTTTGAAGCAAGAAACAATTGCATGTAGTTTCTGCATTTCTAAAGTGAAAGTGACCAGCCTGTTTAAAAATGTGCATTACCAAGCTGGCTGAAGGGGCCGCAGTAAACAGTTCAAAACCGAGATTCACTTCGTTAAGAACATGTGCAGAAACAGGCCGTCTCGATGCAATAATAACTGCAATATGGACGAGTAAGCATTACCGTGAATCGTCTTTCATCTTAATGGTGATCTCTCTGACTGTGACACTTTTATGAAGTCCAGGACGACATCCAGCCTAGTGAAAATTCACATCATACATCAGTCAAATACAGGTCGCTTCTAAGTACCTCTCTGTAGCTGTCACTCAACACACGTCTGCATACCAAACGTCACAGTTCACCATCAGGCATTAAAGGATCCCATTCAATATGACCCCACTCCACACCCACATACACACATAGCAATAACTTATTTCATGTGTACCTTTAAAAAAATGAAAATATTCTGGACAATAAATTAATAGAATTATAAATAAAAAACAAAAACAAGTCCAAAGACAGAATAGAATGACATGAATGTACATTCACCCTCCAAAATATAATAATAATAATAATAATAATAAAAACAAAACAACAGACAAATAAAATTAAACCACACCGTGGCTCTTTTAGGATTGTTTCTAAACTAGTTCGTACAAATTCCCACCCCACCCTCAGTGCAGTGTTAGCGTACCAAAGATTAACTCCCATCTCCACTCTTCACTCCATCCATTCACCTTTATATGCAAGTCCCTCAATATTTCCAGTTATAGTACCCATAGGCTACTCCTTCGGTCTCCTGTTCCTTCTCATCTGTACCATTTCTCCCTGTCCCTCACTTTCAGTCTTTGTACACAGTCTGCTGTCCATGTCCCCTCTCATCATGCATAATGTGTCTCCGCACATGGATCCTCCTCACCCTTCTGTCTCCACCCCCTACACCACCACCATCCTCCTCTGATTGTCCCACACCTGGAGATGAGACACCACCAGACTCCAACAGAGCCATGCCTCCGTGACCAGAGCTCCGTCCGTTCTCATAGATCAAGATGTTTAGGGTTTCTTCAAAGATGCGAGCTTCTGGAAACTCAACCTAGCAGTCAGAGGCAAATCATGAGTGAGAAAACGGGAATAAATTCAAAGTGCAAAACATAAAAGTATAAGAACAATAATATCATCCAATGTAGAAGATACTTTCAAATAAACATACAGGACAAATACAGTCTCTTGCTTACTTTGGTCTGTTTCTTCTCGGTGGCGTAGACAATGGAGGTACAGCAAACCTCTGCAATCTTGCGTCCGTCTCCGTAGAAGGACCAGCAGCAGATTTCGTCTCCAAGCACGTCTTTAATGAAAAGCACTCTGCCATTAAAACGTAGCCCGAGCTTATCAAACAGCTCAATGTTCTTCAGCAAGTTGTCATCGGAGTTACTGCGGGAGTGAAGAAAATTTCAGAAACATTATATACAGTTGTATGCAAAGGTTTGGACACCCCTGGTCAAATTACATATTTTGTCGATTTTCTTAGTGAAAGTAAGTTAACACATTCTCTTCACACATTTTAATGACCTAATAACTGTTTACTTTCTGAAATAAATTTACTGGAAAAAATAAAAACATAAAATGGGACCTGTACAAAAGTTGTAGCACATTTTATGTTCTATTGTTTTCCCATTATGTTAAACTTCTGGTTATTCCCTGCAGAGGATACATTTTTTTCACTTTTTATTCTAATTTTTACTTAGAAAATCAACAAAGTATGTATAGTGCTGTGAAAAAGTATTTGCCCCTTCCCAATGTCTTCTATTTTTGCATATTTATCACACTTGAATGTTTCAGATCATCAGACTACTTTTAATATTAGACAAAGATAAGCCAAGTAAACACACAATGCTGTTTTTAGATGATGATTTCATTTACTGAAGGAAAAATGCTGTTCAGCCCTACCTGGCCCTATGTGAAAAGTAGCCCTTAGCTACTTAAATCAACCAGTTAACCAAATTTAACTGACAACTGGGTTCAATTTCAGTAGCCACACCCAGGCACTTCAATGGAACCTGTCTGGTGATGTGAAGCAGACTAGAAGCACTCAAAAAGCAGTATATGATGCCATATTCTGTAGAAATTCAAATACAGATGAAAAACAAAGTCATTGAAATCTACCAGTCTGGAAAGAGTTACAAAGCCATTGCTAAGTTAACAGGAGAGAACTTTGAACAGCAGTGAACCTTCCCAGGAGTTGCCAGCCCACTAAAGATTCACCAAGAGCGCATCAACGACTCATCCAGGAGGTCACAAAAGAATCCAGATAAACATCTAAAGAACTGCAGGCCTCACTTGCCTCAGTTAAGGTCAATGAACACAACTCCACAATAAGAAAGACGCTGGGCAAAAACAGCATCCATGAGAGAGCTCCAAACTTCAAACCACTGCTGACCAAAAAGAACACGAAGGCTCATCTTGCATTTGCCAAAAAGCATTTAGAAGACCCCCATGACTTTTGGGATAATATTCTGTGGACTGATGAGTCAAAGGTGGAACCTTTTGTTACACATGGGTCCTGCTACATCTGGCGTAAAGCCTCATTCCACCATCATACCAACAGTCAAACATGGTCGTGGTAGTGTGATGGTCTGGAGCTGCTTTGCTTCTACAGGATCTTGATGACTTGTTATAACTGATGAAACCATGAATTCTGATCTCTATCAGAAAATCCTGAAGGAGAATATCCGCCCCTCAGTTTGTGACCTAAAGCTCAAGCACAGTTGGGTTGTGCAGCAGGACAATGATCCAAAGCACACAAGCAAGTATACCTCTCAACGGCTCAAAAGAAACAAAATTAAGGTTTTGGAGTGACTGAGACAAAGTCTTGACCTGAATCCCTTTGTGATGCTGTGGCTAGACCTTAAATGGGCATTTGATGCTCAAAAACCCCCCAATGCAGCCAAATTAAAACAATTCTTCAAAGAAGAGCGGGCCAAAATCTCTCCACAGTGGTGTAAAGGACTCATCACAAGTTTTCGCAAATGTTTGATTGCACTTGTTACTGCCAAGGGTGGCACAACCTGTTATTATTATTAGGTTTAGGGGTAATTACTTTTTCCCACAGGTGATATAGGTTTTGAATAAATCCCTATCTTCATCAAAATTAGTTGGATGATCTGAAATATTTAAATGTGACAAATTAGAAAAATAGAAGAAATCGGGGGAATACTTTTTCACAGCACTGTAACTTGATAAAGGGTATTCAAACTTTTGCAAACAACTGTACACAAGAACAAGATTAGCAAAATATATTAGCATGTTAACATCTTAGCCAACTTATAAAAAAATATTTCACCAAATACCTCACAATTATTACATAATCAACTAATCAAAATTATTTGAGATGAATGCAAATCTAACTGCAATCATCTTCCACAGTCGTTAGACTTCAGGTATGTATTGCTGCAAGAAACAAAATGTGAATTGAGTATGTTGGGTTGACACAAAAAATTGTAGAAAGCTGTTAACTGTTGCTGTCCAAAAAATACAAAAACAAACAAACAAAAAAAACAAT